CCTTTTCCGACCCTGTTTTATGCTAAGCTAAGCTCATTGTCCCCTAGCTCTAGCTTCACATTTAACGTCTCATCTAGTCCTCAACTATTCAATTTAGTTTTTTCCCCCAGTTTACACTTTAACCGACCCGCTCACATTCATTAGAAATAGGACCTGTGACAAACGTTAAGTAAACATTTTTGCATAGGGATCATTAATTATACTTTATTAGGACAAAAATGATGCTATTGCAGTTAAAGTACGATCAGATCTATTGTACCACTTCAATACAAATACTAATTCAAACTAAAGGAATACATGAGAGTAACAGTTTGAACTTACTTCAATTGGATTGCTTAAGAATAACATAGGATAACCAAGACTAAATATAGCAGTAACAGAGGTGTGCTGGTCTTTGTTAAAGTGATGAACAACAGAGATGTTTCGGGGGAAAAGTCATCTCCTAATTGCATTTGTCTGTCTCTTTCTCTTTTTCGTGCCTTTCACAAGGATGCCTCATTATTTCCAAAGAGCAATATAACTCTCTCATGCTTTCTCTGATTGGATTGGCAGCGCCCAAACGCTGGAAGCACACCAAGTTAAGAGTTTCATTCAGCACCCCCTCCCTAATGATGGGAGGACAGGGAACCAGCCTCTTCTCTCACTACACTTAACAAGTCGCCCTCTTTGTCTGTTCTCACTCGCTCTAACCATCTCACAGCTTTTCCATTCCAATCTTCCACTCAACGTCCATCTCCATCTCAATCCACGTGTTCTTCTTCACCCCCCTTTCCAAAAACAGGCCTAGAACTCCCTCCTCCCCTGTCCTTCCTTGCTCTTTATTACCTTGCCCACGCTCTCCTCTCCTGTTTTCAGCTGCTACCTTCATCCTGAGACAGGGGAATGTAGAAACCAAGGGCCCCTGATGTCTTCCTGGAGAAGTTCTAAAACAAAAGTCAAATTGAATTAGAGCTTTCCGAACATTAGCAAAAGAGGCAGTGCCAAACTCAGACGTCCTCTTAGAATGCACTCTCACAGAAATAATTACAGCAGAGATGAAGCGAGGGAGACAGAGGATAAAGGAGGTGAAGGCAGGAGAGAGGGAATATCTCTTTTGTTGTTTTAAGCGTGCTGAATGTCTCCAAAGAGTAGAACCAGCTGCTATCTCCAGGCAAAGAGAAGAAGGAGCCCGGGCAACGCGACCCGTCTAGCAGAACAGATTATGCCAGCTGAAGGGTATTTAGAGGCTTTTATCTAGTAAACAGGTCAAGGTGGGGCCAACATATCCTCACATGAACCAGACAAAAGACAGCTTTTACAAGTCTTTCAGAACATTGTGAGCGTCTATCCCCCCCAACGCCAGCAGAACTAAAGCAGGCTTACTAACCAACCAAGTGGGAACCTACCCTGAACCCAATTACCTGAGCATATATGTTGATTTCATTCAAATGTTCCCAGTACATTTGCACTGCTTTAGTGATATACAGTATCAGCTGAAAGGCCTCCTAATGTTGTGGCCTTAAATATCTGTTGGTGATGTCATAACCATGTGTCGGTCCAGTCCAGTCCACCAGTTGAGTTGCTTAGACAATGAAGCTAAGGTCGACTCCATTGTATGTGCTTGTGATCTTTCTATCCACACGTACTATAACAATAATATAAACAAATACAACAGGGTTTTGTCTAAACGCCCTCTTACTTTCCCCGTATTTGAAAGTGATGGCAGAAATCAATATTTCTGTTCGTCAAAAACTGTATTATTACTCAAAAAGTATGAAAACCGTGTCAAATAGGCCGACAGACGGCATAGACAGCTTTGTTTTTACGGAACTCGGACGTCACGTTGATGTTGACGTTCGCGGCACCATCTTGTATACAGGCGTCATGATCTCGCGAGAATTGATACTTCTTATAGATCAGCGCCACAGTATTGCCCTCATACTATATTTTTCAAGATCTGATCTATATTGAAGCCACACACAGCTTCAATATACTGTATTACATCTGCTTTTCAATTATTTATTTTGACGTTAAATGACAACCTTCAGTTTTAAAGAAAACACTGTAGCTATATGCCAGTCAGGGGTGCTGAGAATATTCAAGTTTATGATGACTTTCTCTAAGATATGTTTTGCGGCCACATGTGCTCATTCAGCTTTTCTGGAAATCCTTAAAAGCGCTTGTAAAGCGCCTCAATGATTTCCAAAGAGGAGCCAAGTGTCGGCTTTCAGAAGTGCAACCAACATAAACAAAGTGTGTTTTAAGTCATGTAGATGTTGTCATTGGTTTTGCCCAGAAGCCCTATGGACATGAATCTTGAATTATTTCTATTTCTGACAAGAGTCCATCCACTCCAAAGAAAGCACTGGCACTAAGCGATCGCCACTTGAAATACTTAGCCTACTGTGCACATTATTTAAAAACCACAATTGCAGGTTTATGTCCAAGAAGCTCCAGCAGTGATATTGTTGCAAAATCATATTCACAACGGTATCAGGTTTTGTTTGCTGGGACTCATTTAGAAAAGATTTTGATAAAATGTCATGTTGCATCCAAACTTTGAAGACAACTTGAACCTTGCTATACCTATCCTTATGGCTACCTTTATTTAGATGAGTGACATGCCTCAATGATGGGTTAATATGTAGATATTATCCCGGCTGTGTGTGTATAAGAAATAATTATGATTAGTTTTCTTTGGTTCCATTATCACTCTTGTGTTTCAATGTGTCTCTCGTGCTAGTGCCTGTTTAAACAGTCAATGAACCAGGCAATTACATATAACTGGCGAATGATCTCATCAAAAGATCTTTTTTTAGCAGAACCAGAGTCAACTATACGAAAGTAACAAAAGTGAGTCATAAACTTTTCCTTGGAAGAAATTTACACGACAAGCTTCTTGTCCATCACGATTCACCCATGCTGAATCTCATTTAAAAGCACTTCTTTTGCGTGCCTAAAAACACAGGGGATTATGGGAAATGACAGGCGGGTTTGTGGAGCTTTTTACAACGGGACGATGTGGTCACGGCGTCTTGTTAGAGTCCCTTTAACTGTTTCTATTTTAGAACCCGGTGGATTAGAGCAACACATCTCACCGGTGCTCATTACAATGGCCAGTGTCACAAAATGTCCTTTACTGCTTTTAACCGCACAGCCATGAGCCACACTGAACTGGTTTTGACACGAAGCCTGAATAAACAGGAGGATGTGAATGCATGGGGGAAAAAATACAGGAGATACGCTCACAAGCTCCCTTTAAACCAGGAACAGGAACAGTAGTCAGCGCACCTCCTCATCATCACTCTTGTTACTCACGCACAGCTTTTGTGTATGTTAAATGTGAGTGTTAATTGAGTAGTGTGGAAGTTGCACACACTGCGAGCGGATGCAATCATGATGTCCATGTGTATGGAGGTCGGCCGCTGTACCTTTCTGTGTGTGTCGTCAGCGCGTTTCCATGCAGTTCAATCAGCGACTGAACTCAGGCATTGGTGAAAAAGCACTCGTGTTTATTATGCTGTATTAAGTTTTAGTGGAAGAACATCTAAGAGGGAGCAGGTGCTTCTGGGCTCACAGCATATTTGTTTTACTTTGTAAAGGGCCCAGGCTGGGGAGAGCGTTTCATTTAATCCTTAAACGAACAGCAATTAGGCTCGCTAATGAGGCCCAGGGTTAGATGTATTAAGACTCTGTTTATCCTGCTTTCCTTCCCATTTTTTCTCCTCTTCCATCCGTCTTTGCATTGCTTTTTACTAGAAGGAAAGCTCAAACGCACAAACTTTACATCAGCACTGTCTGAGCTCCATAGCCCCCCCACTCCAGCACTTAATACAGACAGTTGGTTCCAAATCAAATACCTGGAGGGGGAGGCAAACATAAATCTAATCTTTTAAGAACAACATCCAGACAGATCTCTCTTGATACTACTGATGAGCTACTACTTCTCCTACCCCTGCGGGATTCTTGGTGATTGATTTACATGCAAGCTCACTCCAAATTACCCAAAACGGTTTCATAAGAAAGTAGTTCCACCTGCTGTGCCGCCATCGCGCCAGGCTAAAAGGGAAAGGTCTGTGCTGCTGGCAGACTGTGTGACAGACAAGGCGGCATACGTTTGTGCTTTTAGAGTAAAGGGGTTAATCACATTACATTAAAAGTCGTCTGCATTTATAAGGAGAATGTTTCCTACCATGGTGTGGGGCCTGAAGACATTTTTATGTTTCTGTCACTTTTGAGTGAGTTTGAACAGAAAAAAGAGTATAAAGTAGGATTTTTTAGAGCTGTTCATTTGCCATATTTGCAAATAATTTTCTTTTCAAGCCACCATGTTCAGTGGCTGTCCTCATCCACTTTAATTACTATTCTGTAAAAAATATATGCTACAATTGGTGTTGCTTTTACACATCCAAAAGTACAATGTCTTTATCAGTGGCTTTTCCACTTAAATTTGAACATTTCCATGTCCAAAATAAGGCTTAACATACTCGTTTGGATTGGTGTATCTACCTTAAACTGAGTGAACCTGTTTGTCGAGTCTAAACAGAGAGTATCCACCCAAATAGACTGTTTTCACTTGCCAATGTTTGTCCGCAGGACACTGCCAAACCAGTAGTGAGAGGGGAAATAGGCTCTCAAATATGCGGTCATGTGGACACTCAAAAGGGAAAGCATACAGGGATATTATTATTATGACAGCATTTTCCTAGACATTTCGCAGACTCTGACCATGCAAGTCACAACACTTGCATTTCTACAGTTACAGTTCACACACAGGTAGTTTGCATCTGCTCTGTACACATAAATATAAATAATTATATTTCAGTTTTATTTGTATTCTTTATATATATTTTCCTTAATCTTATTTTTGTATTCCAAACAACATAGAACAATATAGTAATGGTAATGTTTCATTACACTAAAATAGATTATTAAAAGTTTGAGTTTAGTCATCTTTGAACCAACTCGCGTTCCGTTGTATTTGGTCGTATCATAGCAACCAAAAGGGTCGGATATTGCTGGGAGAGGCGTGTGTGGTTTCCATGGACACGGTTGATACCAAACTTACGGTAGAAGTTTAGAAATAGACAAAAACCTTGAATTACACGGTAAGTTTACATGACTAGAAGTAGCAAGTCATGGTTAAAACTTGTAATATGTGTTTTTTATTAACAAGGAATAGCGCAAAGTGGTTGTAGTTAGTCGACAGTAATCTAAAGGATGTGTATTAGCTTTGCTAACGGCACTACACTAACGCTTAAACTAAGTTAGCATATTAAACGTTGGTACTTAAACCTCGACATTGTTGTAAAAAGGAAGAGCTTGACAACTACCATGTAAGCACGTGAGCAAGTATTCTTATTCCCTACTGCTTAAATATATTTCATAAAGGTAAATAATATTCAGAAAACCATAATTGTAGACGTTATTTAACACCATAAACTCAACGTGCCTTTTTTTAGAACGTTAGCTGAAATGTTAGTTAGCTTTTCAATGTATTTTCACGTTTTGAATGAACGGCAAAAATACATATGAACAATTACTTTCACTATAATTTAATCTGAACATATTTTTTAAATGAGTCATTATGGCTATGAACTGTTGGAAAATAGTTTCAAACGATTAACAATAATCTTAAGCCTAAACTAACTGTTAACAGGTCAGTTAAGAATCCAAACTCTTTATTCAATCAACTATTATATAAAGCAAATAAGAAATAGCTAATCATTACACTTAAAAAAATCAAACAATCTAATATCAAAGTAGTCTAGAAATAAAGCATGACCTCTCAATTTTTCCTCATGAGCCCCAAAGCCAACAGATGAAAAATAATGAGTTTGAGTAAAGTGACACACTGTTTAAAATAGTGTTGTTTTTATTTTTTCAGTTTCAGAATATCCCAGCCGCTGCTATGGGGCTATCACTGACGAGGGCAGCCCAGTGGACCCCGGCCAGCTCTGGTACTGGCAAACTTGAGTCCACGCCAATGAATGAGTCCTTGTTGAAGGAAATCCTGAGCTTTGCTGAGCAGTTCGGCTCCCAACACCCACAGGAGGCCTTGCATGTGTTTCAAGAACCTCTCCAGTGGAGTACCACTTTAGTGGCATCTGATTTCAAAACAGACTATGACATCAGGTTGGTCTAATCATGAGGCAGGCAGCTGGTTGGCCGGTGTTTTCAGTATTACGTGTCTGTGCAGGATATGCTGTCACCATGGTGTCCAAATGTATTTTACCTTGGCTTTACTCAAAGCAGTATAGGCTATAATTAATTTGTTATTCAGCTTCAGTTCGACTGAGTACATTCCATTTTATTTCTTCAGAAGTTCTGGTCCAGCGTGTGTTTAGCTTTGTATCTTGGAAGGGGAGAAGTAGAGAAAAAAAAATACAGACTCTGATCTTCCTTAAGTGTGTTGGCTTTTATAATCTAATACAAGAAAAGTCATAAGAGGGATAAAACTGAAGTACTGTTTTTGGTTTCTTTTCCCTGCAGTGACTCAGACGTAAAGTCCAATGAGAGAGACAGTGAAGGGCTTCCATTGTTGCAGCTCTCCCCTCCTACTGTTTCTGTACGCAGCTTCAGCCAGCTCTCTAAACTCATTCATCTGGCAGAAGATAAGAAGGTGGAAGAGGTTCAAGCATGTCTAGAAGGTAAGCATGATGACCACAGGGTGATATTTGAATCTAATTAGCATCTTAAGGAGTCTAGGCATAGCTTCATAACCTACAGACTTCATTGTTTTTTGTCTAAGATCATCTAATAATGCTTGGTAATTAAGTGCGCTACATACATTAAAACCCAAGGCAGTAACATTACAAACATTGAAACAGGAGTAAAAACAGATACAACTAACCACAGCAATGAATACAGATACAATTAAGAAGAGATAAAGATTTGACAAAACTTAAAAGTACATAGAGAGGGATTCACATAAAAGCCTGGTTTAGGTTATTTTATACCATTTTGTTTTACACATTTGGACTACTAACCTCCGCTCCGTGTGTAGAGGGTGGGAGTCATCATTTAACATAAAGCTGGATAACTGCTGTAGCTTTCTGAGGTACAGGGTCTCGAGGTTTCGCTGTGACTCACCAATCAGTCTGCTAGACCACTTGATAAACTGACTGAGAGAGTTAGAAAAAGACAGAATGGACTCAATAAAAGCACAATAAAACATGACCATCATGGTTTTCATCAAAGTATGCATTTAAAAGATGAAACTGATTTCTCAAGCCCAATATCGTCGTGTGCACCACAATACGGGTGCCCTAATAGAAAAGTACATAAAGGGGCTGCCTCATTGTTGGATCCAAATGATTCCAACTCATATCGTCCATGCCACTGCAATCAGGCTCTGAATCTAAAGATGTGTATAAGTTAATATCTTTTTTTTCCTTCAGAAAATAGATACCCCGTGGTTAAGATTCTTGGTTCCAGTGTTGCCAGCATCCTGCAGGGAGAAGACACCGATACTGACGTGCTAAGTCTGGTAGACAAAGTGAAAGATCAGGGCAAGGACTCGGAGGTCAAGGTCAAGCTGTTCCTGTTGCTCCAAAATCTGGATAACAAGCTCCTCAGCAAGTGCCTCGAAGAGATAGCCGGGTATGTGCGTCTTTTATCTCCAGCTGTCTCAGAAATCTCTCTGATTATCTCTCCATCCTCCACGCCTATCCTCTTTCACTCCGACCTAACCAGTCCTACTGCGACATGCTGTTGTTTATGATTGGAATAGGCAGCAGGTTTAGAAAAGGGAACCATGAATGAATGAGAGGAATTAGATGTTTGTTTTGTTTTTCTACATTTTCATTACAGAAAAATCAGGCTTGACCCCACCGCAGTGAAGAATGAAGTGGATTCACTGAAACAGTCAAGCATTGAAGGGGAAAAAAGGGTGTTGAAGTCCATTCGATACACATCAGGTTTGAATTATCTCCACATTTCACTGACTTGCAAGGAGAGCAATTGCTATTAACACTAAAGCTGGATATTCCAACGCATAAAAAAGTCTGCATTTGCCACCACAACAGACATGGAAGCTATTATATCTGTCAGATTCCAGTTGACCAAGTCGTTAGTCAATGCAGTGCACTTATCATGGCCTTATAAAGCAAGTGCACACCAGGCGGTTAAAGCAGTACTCATTTCTCATGTTGGATTGACACTGTATAAAGAAATACTGCAAACGGCCTTAAAATATACTAGCGTCACTAAGGGCCTCCTTTTAGTGGTTGATTTATATTGCAATTGAAAGGATAGAGTTACCCAGGGCTCATGTCTACGACCTCTGCAGTTTTCCTGTATACTGTTAATATAATACGTTTTTGGCAAGATTTATGCAACGTTCCTCCCCTTTCCTCTTCAGATTATATATTTTCAAATGGCTGCCGTGCCCCTCCTTGGAGACAGGTTCATCGCGAGATGTGTTACCTAGTGATCGAGCCGTGTGACACTGAGACCCTCTGCGTCACCTGCAGCACTGCGGGAGTTTTTATTAATGGGGTAAGACTAGGAAGATAAAGCACTGTGTGCTGCTGAAGGTCAATGCAATGTTGTTTCCTTTTTCTGTGTGAAGAAATGTTAAAGGAGCAGACTGGAAAATACTTTTTGATAGGCCAATTTATCATTGCACAGTCAGTAAAGTGGCAGTAAATTCACCTCAGCAGGTGTTCCAGTGATTTGGTAAAGATTGATTCTAAGTTCCTTTAGTCGTGCTGTTGAATCAAATAACCACATTGTGTTACTTTGTTTATCCTCCTCCTCAGCAACTGTTACAATAGCAATCTTAAAGCAACATCACAGATCAATCAGTTGGTAGTAAAGTCGAAACATCTCAACAATACATTACAGATCTTAATGCATATACCCAGAGCTGGAAGAATGTATTAAGAGTTGCATTTAGTTAAAAGTTCTGAAAAGATGTTTAATGAATGTAGTGTAGTCAAATTACATTATTTCCCTTTTAATTGTAATGAAGTATAAGAATTGTAGCATTGAATGAAGTACTCAAGTAAAGTACTTTAAATGTACTTAGTTGCTTTCCAACGCTACCACTTACATATTTCCAGCATATATTCAAAGGAAAGCAGGAAACCAATGGGACATACAACCTAGGGCTGCTTGATTATGGCAAAAATCATAATCTCGTTATTTGGGTCAATAATTGATATCACGATTATTAAAAACAATTATCCATTTACTTTGAAAACATAAATGTATTGGACAAGAAAAAAAAAAAAAAAAATCGTTTTATTTAGATTACGTCGTTTTCGTAATCGTTGCAAGCCATAATCGTAATTGCGATTAAAATATGATTAATTGAGCAGCCCTAATATAACCTATAAGAGAGGGCAGAAGGAGCCACACAACTGTAAAAGTGTGGCAGATTCTTTCCAAGAAACATCCAATCTATGATCTGTGATCCAAAATGGGATAAAGCCCACCTAAAAATAAAAAAAACTGAATTTGTAGCAGCTGACATTATTTGACTTAAACATACCATACTCAAACTGCCCATGTTTTCAGGTCTGAATAATAGTAATAAAGTAATACAAAGATGGTTCTATAGCAATAAATCTACAACATAAAAAGAGTCAACTGATTGATCCTGCAGAGGAGTACATACAAGATGCGTTTCAGATACATAAACAGTTCTGAGTTTACAGAACCAGATCAATAAAATGAAAAACAATACCTCCTCGACTGAAGGCTTGGACCAAGAGTTTTATTTTCCAGATCCATTAAATCTGACTTGAGTTACCAAGAATAATCATTTCTGACATTTGTAAGTCCCTCTGTACATTGTTCCAGCTGGAAGGGGTATTTAAACAAAGATCAGTGGTCTACAAAATAACCACGCCCAGCAATAAAAGCACATACTGGTATAGTGCATCCAACAGCTTTAGGGCATGTGCACTCATTAATAGCAGAACTCCAATATCCAATAAAGTCTGAAGAAAAAGGTTTGTTTACATTGTTACAACAACAAAATAACTACAATATCTCTTGATTTCAATCATGTTCATAAATAAACCTAAAATCGAGGTCAAACCCTGGCTTTTCANAGTGATGAAACGGAAATGACAGTTTAGAGTAAATTGTGATGTGGACTCTCATCCCAGAATTTTAAGGAAATCAGTGGGGATATTGAACAGGAAACATTTGAAATGTTTCCTGTTCAATATCCCCACTGATTTCCTTAAAATTCTGGGATGAGAGTCCACATCACAATTTACTCTAAACTGTCATTTCCGTTTCATCACTCACCTCAGCAATTGACCTCACTCCACTGTCCCTGTATTCTGCCTCACTCTCAAGCGCCTAGATGTCAAGAGAGGTGGTGAAGTGATAATTATGTATTGAGCAGTATACTCTTTCACATTGAATCATAACAAGTCAGACTGAATGTAAATACAACTGACTCTAAAGTAAGTCCCAGTCTGTGACATTGGACATGTTGAAGACTCAAAGTCCCAAGCAGTAGGTAGAATATTAGCTAGTCTATGTAATGTACACAGAAAATAAATAGTTAACTGAATACTGGGATGGAAATTGCCTATAAGCACTCAGTAAAACATAAACACACACAAAAAGCTTCTGAATGATAAGTATAATTAAAACATAATGCACATTACCATTTTGAGAGAGAGTACTGAAGTTAAAGAACTCGAACTGAGGCTCCAGTAAAACACACTGACTGCGTCTACATGGACATCTGTAAGCCGTTTATGAGTATTATCCCGGATATGATCATATGGGGATATGGTGTTTACATGAGCACAGAGAGATCGGGTTATTCATCTTCCCTGTTTACATGATAAATACTAGTAACCTGGCATTTTGATGCCTTTTCTAATCTAAACTATTCAGTATTTGTATTTCTCTATCATGACATAAAGACGAAACTCCTCTCCAGAAGTGAGACGCTTTTCTTTTTTTTCACTGTTAACTGATGAACTGCTACCAGCTGAAGACTTACTTTCCTCTTCTTTGAAAAAAATGTTCTTACGTCCATGTTGTCTGGGGGAGAAAACATATCAAACCAAGAGATCGTCAGCTTTGATTTTCGCTGTATTAACAATGTCCTGACTTCTTGGTGTGTGTGCCTTACCTCTGCTACCGGCATCGCTTCATACAACAGATCTGAGCTGTCCAACTATGACAACACTCCTTGAACATGCATGCACTATGGGAGAATCTGCCTTGGTACAAAGTAGCAGTGAAAACATGGTACGGAGTTTCATTGATTTGGGCATTCTCTCAATAAGCAAGTGGAATGGATTTGATAGTGAAACACTGACACAGCGCTCTACAAAGTGCGGCGAGTGGATAGACCGATTCACGGACTTTCCACATGGTAGAAGTGGGGGGGGTCTAAACTAATCATTTCAAAAAGTGGGGGGGACTTGTCCCACCCTCATACAATGGCTGTGACGCCCATGTACAGAGTTAACAACATGTTTTGTAATGTAACTGAACTTGAAATTTGGCACCAAATTGTTATATCAGTTGCTTATTAAATCTATGTAGATATTACGCTCATGAGAAAGGTTAAAATGGACACAAATGCGTTTTGGTTTGGGTTGTTTATACTGTCTCTGTACGAAAACTAAATGCCATCCACCAAGGCTATTGCTGGCCCAGCTGCACAAAGACATATTTTTAGGCAGGTTTTTGTTGTAAGCTGTTTTATACCACCGGCAGATGGGAAGGATCCAAACAGACCTGAAGAATCCCGGCGAGGCTTTCACGGTGAACACTTCACAAGGAGAACGTCCTCCTAACTCGAGTGTCACCTAATTGAACTTTAGCTGCCTGATAGTCATGAATTCTGGATTTCATTAAGCTGGCGAGCGTGAAGGATAGATCTCTCTCAAATCATCTGTGTTTTAATTGCCAGCTCTCCATTAAAATCAGATTACCTGAAGAGAGCAGCGAAGAGCCAGACAAGACAAAGAAAGTAATTGAATTAGAGGCGAGGCAAGAGGGAGCACCAGGGAGAGGCAGAAGAGCCTGTTTGCGAGAGAGATGACCAATATTACTGGTTGTGAGCGAGGAATCAAGAGTATTGGAGATTCAGAGGCAGAAATAAGTGAAGTGGGTGAGAGCTGATAGTCTCTCCTCTGATAACCACAGTGTGTTGGCCAACTCGTTGTCGTGCCAGGTCTGCATGACAGTGTTGGCTGGAGGCTAGGCATCATCATTCTGTTTATTATAGGGTTATCGTTATGGCAACAGCTCTGTCCGCCTCTTGAGAAGATAGCGGTTATCAAACCCACTCATCGTGCTGATGGAAAAGATGTCTGTTATGGTCTGATCGGTAAGCAACATAAAAGCTGAGAGAAGGGAATGGGAAGGGGCTAAACACATGGATTAATGTGTTTGCAGTATTCTCCATGTGTGTACATTTGGAACTTGTCAAAAACACGTGATTGATGTATATGATGAGCCCAAAAATAATTATTAAACAGCCTGACTGGCACTACTTATCGGAAGTTCGTTACTGAAAAAATAACTAATGCTGGATACAAGGTAAAAATGTAATCTTTTTGAGAATTTAGTTAAAATGACAACAAATAAAGTGACATTTAAAGTAAATGCGCTAACATCATTTGTTGAATGTATTCCGGAAATGTCCAATGTACTCCACATTTAATTCTCAAAACATTTTCAACTTCATTCGTATTATTTGCCTTTTTTTTATTGCACATTTTTTATAAAGCTTCATTGTTATGCTTTGCCCTAATACTCTCCATGCAACAATCATCTACGCAGAATAAAGAGGACAACATTGAAAATAGTAAAAAAGAAAAGACATATTAAAGAAAAAAAGACTAAAAGTATCAAATGTATGACAAAGGTCATGCTCAGCACAGTGTACTTCACCTAAAGCACACTTTCCCCCCCTGCTGTGCCACTGGGGAGACCCCATCATTGTCAAGAGCTGCTTCAAAGAGCAGCAGCCAGCAGGGCACACAGGCTGCCCCTGCGCAAGCCCTGGCATAAAGAATCAAATGCACCCCGGCAGTGTGAGTAATCTCACGGCTAATGTCTAATATCTAATGGCCTTAATCAAAAGCCACCACTACGAACCTCTCAGAACTGTGTTGATAAATCACAGCGTTAATGAAAAATGGGCCGTATCGCAGCACAGTGCTGGTAGGCTGCGGCACAGCCCCATTTGTTAAAGCAGCATCCTGCGGTTCCTGTGTCAGTTTACTTTTCCTCTCCTCTCTTTGGCTTCCCTCTCCATCTCCATTTGATTTAACCTCTCTCTGCAAATGCGTTTTAGCTTCTCGTCATTTTTATTCAGCCTCATTTATTACCCAGCTTCCTGTTGTCTTTCTTCTCCTTTTACATTTCTGTTTCCCCCTTACTCCCCGCCTCCCATTCTTCTTCTTTCTTTATCTCCCACTTTTTCCTACGTTTCATTTGCCAGCTCACAGCTTCCAGTTCTTAAATCTCATCTATCCTTTTTTCGACCCGTCTTCTAATTTCTTTTCCCAACACTGTGCAGTAGTTTCAGCGGCTCGGCTTCTCTTTAGCTCTCCGTCTAATTTGTTAACCAGAGGTGTCGCGTTGTGCTCTGTTCTGTGGTCTTGGTGGGCAGGCTGCATGGTGAACAGAGCTGCTGTGAGGAGGTAATTAACCACTCTTAATTTAGACAACAGGCTCAATCAGCGAGACATAATGACTACATGTGGGCTGGAATACCAATCGTGCAGGCCCCAGGCACACACATACACACACACACTCAAACGCCCTTCAAAGAAAAAAAATGGGAACAGATAACGTAGAGTCTACATTCATGCTGGTGATGCAGTTTTTTCTGAAAATGAGATGTGGAAAATCGACAGTTTGTTTTGTTTCCAAAATCTAATTTAAAACTGCACTCGGCAACTAAGAACAGTAGCAGCTCCAGATGGCAGCAGCTGGTAACTGTTTGAGATGTAACCACAATTCCCAGAACTCCATAACATGTGCTCACACATTCCAATTGTTACTGTCTGCTGATGTTCATGTTTTGTATATTAATATGTATATATTTTGGTTTTAATGTAACATATTAATCAGAAACATATCATATATAGAAATTCCATTTGCTACGAACGCATTATGTTGTTTGTTTATGATGATGATGCATTATTCTCTCAAACAAGGAGAATAATAAAAAAAATGGAAACAGAAAGTGTTAAAGCTTCTTTACTTAAACTTGACAGAGGTTTTCCTATCACAGTTGTCACCTTCTGTGTAAAGAAGTGTTCTAGTTTACAATCACAGCACCACAATATAATTGGTTATTTGGTACTTTACAGTTTCCCAGCCACAAATTGTATAACCAAATAAGCAAACACGTGGCTAAGGTTAAACAGGTCAGTGCTTCCTTCCATATCTTTCTCTTCTCATCCGTCTTGTTTTTGTTATGGTTGGATCAATAGACCAAAAAGGATTGAGGGATGTTCCAATGAAACAAATAGTGTTGCCGATGAAATGATGTACAATGAATGCATCCTTTTATCACTGGCAAAGTGCTGACAAATGGCAAAAGAGAATGCCACACAACCATCCACACACTAAAAAATCCTTCTTACTTTCTTTGTGCTAAAGTAATTAAGTAGGGCTTATTTTCATTATGAAACACTGTATAAAAGATTGGACTTTTCTTACATCCAAACAATGAACTACGCTGTAATGCTAACTTTTTAAAAGGCGGCCCCATCCCAAATCACCCTGCTTTATCATCTACTTTACTTGAAATGATATCAATTAAATAGCATTTTAATTTACTTTAAGAACATCATGCTTAAGTAACGTGATTTAGAACATTATCTTGTTCAAAAATGTTTACCGAGTTTAAGAAGCAGCACAGTAGTTTTCTCATGTACTTCTATGCAATCTTATTGTTTTGGGTAATTTTTTCATAGCCTTCTACACAGTCAGATTTTGTAGTGTTGTTTTCACATAGGCAAGGCAAGTTTATTTATATGGTACCTTTCAACACAAGGCAATTCAAAGTGCTTTTCCGGTTATTACCCGTCCCCTTGTGTTATGAAGGTTTGTGTGCATGTAAACGGTGTGTCGAGTCACAAACCTATGGAGCCCCATAGGGGACATGGAGAAGAAAAAAAAAGACCTTTGCGAGATCTCGCAATACTTTTGTGAGATCTCGCAAAACGTTTAATTTAGCTCAATGTACTTCCTGGTCAGTTCGGCAACACAGAAACCACAACAATGGAGCGGTTCATCGATTTTACTTTGAGCTTGGCCTTAAATATAAAGATATAACATCAGTGCTTCACATAAGTGAAAGACACTTCAAGAGAACACTCAGAGCGAGGGGACATGCACGTCGCAAAGCATACTCTGAGCTGAGTTATTGACTGATTCGAATTTCGCGGATCAATAACTCTTGAACATAACGTTGTAAAAATACAAACAACATGACTTTACAATCATAGCAAGGTAGACAACGAGCTACAGAGTCGTTTTTATCAGAACAGTTCGATACGCGCCGTTATCCGAGCTAAACTTCAAGAATTGGTCACAATCTGCAGCTGGAGGAGGGAGAGGAGTGCTTAGGGACCGTCTACAAACTGCAACGGGGTTTTTTGAGATCTCGCATCGCAAAACCTATTTTTTTTTTTTTACCAAATAATTTTTTTTCTTCTTCTCCATGTCCCTAGGGGGCTCCGTAGTATCCTGGTAGTTTCTGTTATACTGATCCAATTTCCTCATGGGGGTCATTAAACGTCCTTTAAATGTCATCTAAATAACATTAACAAATAGTTAAATCCAGTTTGGGAGCACAAGCAGGGCAACACACTGAGAAGTCTATATCATTGATTTCCTGTGATGGGCTAAATCAAGGGAAAACTGATACATCTGTTGCGCTCGACTCTTTAAATGACTCTAAACAACATATTACGTTGAGAAATTCAGTGTGAGGATTACACATTCTCCTTGTTTCTTCTCTTACCGTGAATGACTTGGCAGTTCCTTTGTCGTCCTTGCCTGATATCATTTTTGCGCTTTGTCTGGTCTCCTTCAATCTCTCGATCCTCGGAGGCTTCACAAACACCACAAAGGGTTTGAACTCCGCCGTCCGCAGGTGTTTTATGGTCTGAAGAGAGGAAACATGGAAATAATATGGAGTGTAAAAGCAAACGGAGAGTAAGTGAATAAACCTTTATCAACCTTATAATCATGAGCTGATTGAAGTAGGGGGAGACGAGTAGTTTCTTTAATGCAGTGGCTCCAAAACTAGAGGGTAGAGAGTAATCAGATGATAAAAAAGATTTTTTTAAATAAATCTGAGAGAATAAACAGTTTGGCCTTTCTAGTCACATCTCATGACACTGGGTAGTTGTGTTTTAGAGAATTAAAAGCCAAAAGGAATGGCAACCACTTGTTCAATATAAGGGCGGGTGAGGCTAACAGCAGGCCTTTTGTAGCACATGTGTTTCTTTTAGAAGATACATTCCTGTCCACATCTGTCCTGCCTTCTTGTCTCTTTTTTCTGGGGACAATTGCACGACACAACACCGCCAATCTGGTTCTCAAGAGGTAGAGGAGAAGTCAGAGGTGGTTAGTGGTGGCGTCAGGCTTCAGGCTCTCCCCTGGTTCTGGAGCCACGATCAGGGCTTCCCACAGTGCTAATAGGCAGTGGGTCCAAACCCACAACTGATAGGAAGATGGATAAAAAGCCAAAGGAGGGGCAGAAGAAGAACAGCCAGCATGGGGGCAATAACACGCTTTGACACTGCCACTGATCTGACCCGTGAGTCACGATGGAGAACGGGCTTGCACAACACAATAGATGTATGCCAAAAACTAAATAAAGCACATACGTATATGTACATACGCCCACATGAGCTTCTGCAGACTCACTCTCCCACACACTTTAGCCCAGGGCTCAGAGGCTGACTCTCATTGCTGCTCAGGCCAAGGTGGTTTGAGAAGCTGCCAGGCTAATCTATATAATGGTGTATTTACGCCTGCCATTATCCACTGAGCAAAAACAAACAGAGAGGAGCCGGTGGGGCAGAGGCAGCGCGATACGGAGGCCCGGCCCTGGACTAATGGGAATCGTGCCATTTGTGTGGGGTCTGATCGCCACCACCCAAGACACATAAGCCCAAGAGGAAATCTTCAAATAGAGGAAATTAGCGGTAATTGCTCCCTCAGAATGCCCCCTTTATAACCCACTTTGGTAACCTAGAAAGGAGCCAAGGCCTAAGGAAAATCCAGGGATGGGAGGGATTTGCTTTGATAGGGGCAGAGGTGGAAAATAAATGAAAATGAGGGATGATGGGAAAGGGTTTGTGTCACTTACATGGGGCTGCACATCCAATAGGCACACTTTGTTCTTGGACAGGACGGATCGTATCGAGTCAAGGCCTGTCCCGTAGTAGTTCCCTTTGAACTCGCCATACTCGATGAACCTGAGAGGTGAAAGACATCGAAAGGGAGAAAAGAGGACATTGTCAAGAAAGGAAAACACCATTTTTGGGCACGGATTAGTTTGTAATGCAACACTAATGCCCCTCGGGAGTAACATTAGAATCTCATGCTAATCTGGTGTCAGCACACTTTGGAGATTCGTTTGAGAAATAATGATATATAAAACCCTACAAATCCACCGAGACAGCAGGATTACTCTTTCAACCGCAGAGAGAAGATTCTGAACTTAAAAACCAGACGTTTTGCATGGAGTGTGTTCTTTTATAATCTCCTACGCAACACATTCAATCAGTAACACCTGTTTGTTCTAGAAAGACCACAAAGCCCCTGAATGCCAAACTCTACCCTCCTTTAATCCACACGGGTTTTAGTAACTGTGTGCGCGAGTAAACAAACACTTCTCCACCAGATAATCTTCCCCTTTTCTCACAAATCAACTGTCATGAGGAAAAAAGCCACCGGTGTATTTTTAGCTGAAAACATGGAGGAAAAAAGGCTGCGAGGAGAGTAACTACGTGGAAAGAATTTGAAGCTAATAGGAGTATGTGGTATGCTTGCAGTCTGCTCATGACTAGCGTCGGACAGAATGACTGATGTAAAAAGAACGTTTTATGGTAATTGCCCATGTAAGAAAGTTTTACTCACCTCTTTTTTTTTTTTAAAGAGAGTAGGATTAAGTCTCTGACAAACCTATGTTCGGTTATGGGGAAAATAATTTAAGAGCTTACAGTAGCCTGCGTTTAAAAACTCACACCATACAGAATTCTGCGCTATTAGTCGTCAAATATATAAGGTATATAGATTACAGTAAAGCATGCCAATATAGGTTTGGCTATAGTATGTACTGTTGCCATTTTGACACTGAACAGGGCTTCCCTTGGGAAAGTTGTTCAAGCTAAACATACGTTGTTGTGGATCCAATTCCGAGACCTTTAATTTCTGCATTGTTTCTGCTGCATGCGATGAGGCATAACGCAAACAAGTTCATCTCACTCCTCGTCTACTTTGCTGCCTTGTAATTTCAACGTGGAGTGTCCCACGCATCCACCCCACATCACAGCTCTGTCACTCACCCCTCCGACTCCCTAAAAAGCATTGCATGCCTCGACCTGCACCGCAACATGGCCTAAATATACAGCCCCCCCTTTCCCCTGTTCCCTGTGCATGCTCTGAAACTCTATATCCCCTCACCCCCACAGGCTTCCCTCCATGTCATATGCATTGTGTTTGCGTGCATAAATGTTTTGTATCTGCACCCTACAGTGTATCTTCTCATCACTTTCCAGCTCGTGTGAGACCAGCAGAAAGACATCCATCATTCTCAGGACTATAACATTTGTGGCATTTCAATTTGTTGGCCACAAATGTCAAGGCGGGCCCCGTGGTGTGGCTGCGTTTACAGAGAGCGCCTGAAGAAAGGAGGAAGCAAAGACAGGAGGGCTTGGGGCCACTGTCTGGAGATCTGTTACCGACACGGCCTGGCCCTGTCAACACCAGCTCACTCTCAGTTACAGAGACACGGACGGACGACAGCAGGGAGGCCGCAGAGCAGCGAGTACAGGGCCAGTCCGGCTGCTGCACTTCCTCCAGAGGTCCAGAGCACAGATAGGGAGGGACCCTGTTGTTTTCACTGGGGTCTCAAATCGCACATATTCGTAACTTAAAAGTAAAAAACCTATATTTGTACACATGTTCCATGTACATGTTCATACATGTCATTCTTTCTAATGTGATTAGGGATTGGAGATGTGTCAATTAATCCTTTAGCTGAGGAACATAGTCACCAAAGATCCTTTCTTGGTCTCAGGCAATTTTAAAGAAAACATGCCAAACATTGTTGTTGAAAGGTCCAGATATATAGTATAATTCACAAAAGTGAAAAAGCCTTCTGGAACACTCTGTGAAGAACAGGGCTGTATTAGAGGAATAGTAGGATACAGGATATTATAAAAGTAGCAAAGTTAGTGAATAGACTTAAAAGTTAGTGAATAGACTTAATACAACATAAAAAGTACTTAAAGGTGGGGTAGGTCATTTTGGAGAAACCAGCTCGAGTGCGCTAGAATTTGAAAATACACAACCGGAAAAAATCTGCCACTTCCTCACAGAGCCCCTCCTCCAACACACACGAACACGCACATGACCAATGAGGGCACAAGATAAGTTTGTGCACAGATGGAAGGCTGACAGGCAGGTAGGTCATCCAGCTAAAATGATTGGTCATGCTTTTTACAGCACTAGGGCTTCCACAGATAGTATATATTGTCAAAGCATTTAATATATGCATTGCTATCGGGATGTTAAGAGCATTCCATGGAATATAACAAAAAGTGTTTCTGAAATAAATTACATACCCCACCTTTAAGTGGATATATTTGCAGTAGGGAATAACAATTACATAAATAGGAGGATTTATGCGACCTGATTTTCATAGACATGTGTGCACTGTCTATATTGGAAATGTAGTCCTAACAAAGTGTAGCGGCGTAAGGTTTTACCTTTTAAAAGTGTTGAAAAAAGGAATATCTGAAGTCTTTCTACATTGTCTCAAGTTCAAATCTGGTGGCCAAACATTTAGTTAGGTGGAGTGCTCATGTTTTCCTTTACTCTACCATGCACAGTTGTGCCTACTTGTTATTTTGTATATCCGTGTCAAAGAGATGTTTGGAGATGAAGTGGTACTCCACGCCGTCGCTCTCCTGGTTCTTCTTGGCCCGACTGGTGTCTGAGAGAGAGGAGAAGAAAAAAAAGAGTGATTACTTAAAACCCAGACTGTGTGACTCACTGTTGGGGCTGGAAGCATCTGAACTCAGCCCCTTATTAACATCGCTGGAAGTCTGAAACACAGCACGCTGCGCCATGCCAACCCTTGTATATATTATTGTGTAATAGCACCATAAAATACACAACCTATAGCGCTGCAGCACTAAACGCAGACACTTAAGTGACATTCTGCAGAGGTTAACTGTGTCTAATTAACTGTGTCTCTTGTAATGTGGCTGCAGTAACAGAAGCAGTCGCGTTAGCCTCCACCGTTAGCCGCTGGAAGGTAATTGAGTTTGGGAGCTCTCATTAACATCAAGTCTCTACATTTACTTGGCCATAAACTGTAAAGCCTCGCTGTAAAATGAGCAGTGGAGGCGGCACGTGGACAGGCAGCGCTGGAGGATTTGTAAAGGTCACGGGGTTGACTCGCACTACAGCTGCTTTCAGTGCTTCAAAGTTCAGAGGGGAGGGTGTACACCCGTCAGAAACTCCAACAAGCTCCAAAACAAACTATTACATTTGCATCACCTGCAACCAAAACTGCCAACTGCTCTACTCTCCCTCTGACCGAGTTGTTCTTCTTGTCAGTCTGTGTTTAAGTAAGCCATTTTAGTGGACTAGAGCTTTTCCTTTACAGGGTCCAGACTGATCTACAGGGTTTATGGAAAACCACTTTGTGATTTACAAAGTGTGTCACTTGTTCGAGAAGGAAAGACACTCATAAGTCTGACTGGGGTTTGGGAGGACACCGAAGAAGATCAATGAGCCGTAGACAACAGTAGGAAAAACATGATAATAAATAGAAAATATTCGTGTCTGTAGATACTTATATCTCCTGTTCAGAAATGTGTCAGATACAGCCAAACAGCACCTTGGGTAGTTTGACTAACACCATCCACCATGCATTGTTTTGGCATCTGTTTTGTGGCACAGCAAATAATTACAGTACAACAAAAGAATGCGCATCAGTTCATTTCAAAATCATGGAAAATATCAGTAAACTTGGATTAAATTCAAAATGTTCAACCCCCAACTCTAATGGCTTATTGCAATGTGTTTCGGAGACGGCTGGTTTACGTTTTACAGCGACAAGCAGAGAAAGAGATTCAACCAGAGCCACAAGCCGGTGGTCTCCAAAGCTCCGGTTTTCAAATGACCAAAAAGGGATAACGCTTTCAGGCTTAATCTGAAACAACAGCAAGTGTTAAACACATCCATGTGTCTATTGGCAGCAATCAAACACTAAAGAGGAGGCAGATACTTTCCGAATCTCTTTCCTCTCATTGAGAGCCAGGACTTGTGCCATACGTCTTCTATCGTCAGCATCAGGCTGTCTGGACTCTATTAAACACAGCATCACAGGTCACATTTGAGAACAATTAACATGCCTTGTGGAAATACGGCCCCACAGATGGGATTTTAATACCAGGGACATTTCAAGTGTCAGACTTGGGTAGGGACACATCATTTCTGCCACACGGCATGTAACGGACAGGAACATTTATATTAGTGGTGCGATATTTCCTCAAAGTCATGTCGCAGTTTCCCTACAAGCCCTACAGTAGGTGGTAACTACGCTATTACTAGTGCCATTACCCTGCTTAAATGCAGAACTCAAATAGATGTATTTGTCCCAGCGTTTTGGAAAATGATTAGTTTGGATTGCTCTAAGAATTTTAGCACGCTGTCGTTGGGTCCTTAAAGAGAGAAACAGGGAGGAGGCAGTGGAGGAAAGAGACAGAAAACGACAACAAAAAAGTGATAAATAGGTTGAGAAAGAAAGTAGAGCGAGTAGCTTGGTGCCAATTCATGAAGCAGTGGAATAGCATGTCTTCAGGAGATAGAACAACGAAGTTTCCTCCATCATTCGGAGCTTGTCAGGCAGACTGGGAAAAGATGACAATTACACGGGAGGAGAAAACTACCGCCTGGGCCTCGAGAGGAGCTGACGTACCCTGAGTGTTAATGCAATGTGTACGAGTGTGTGTGTGTGTGTGTGTGTGTGTGTGTGTGTGTGTGTGTGTGTGTGTGTGTGTGTGCATTACGAGTGTGAGTGTGTGTGTGTGTGTGTGTGTGTGTGTGTGTCAGACTGGACCGCCATCGCTCTAACAGCACAAGCACCGTCACACATTGTGAAGACTAGACTGGAACATGTACTGTAAGCTTGACGCCTTCAAAAGGGCCCTCAAGTCCCACCTGTTTGCCAAGGCCTTCGGCCCTTAATTGATTTGTTGTTTTGGCTGTCTGACTGTCTGTCTGTCTGACTTTTAGTTTTTGTCTGTTTGTTTGTACTCCTGTTTGTCTTTGTAAAGCGACCTTGGGTCCCATGAAAGGCCCTATATAAATCCAAGCTATTATTATTATTATCATTAAGCTAAACGTCCTTCACCTAAAGCGGTTATTATAATTTGTTGCTAAAACTCTTTGTCGTTGGAATTTGATCGTGGGCTATACATTTCTTAAAGAATATTTTTGTTTCAGTGGACAGGTGTACAAGAAGCTTCTAAGGGACACATGGATTGAGAGAGGGAGACCACTTATCCACATGAGAATAGAGCTGTAGTGTGAGTTATTTAATGTTTGAGAAGGGTCCTTACTCGAGACACCTGCAGCTCAAAAACACCCTCAATCTTTCATGCTTATTCCATCATTCTGAGAATCTCCATGTTGTTTACAGTAAGTTGTCCTGAGATCGCATCAGTTATTATTAGTACAGAGTGAGAGCTCACTCCAAAAGTCTACCACGCAGAAAACTAAATCTTGGTGATAAAGGTTTTTGGCCTGAATGTCCAGGTGGCCTTGTGAAAACCTATTATTTAAATAACAGCAACAATACCAAAGAATAACATTTTCAAAAATGTACAGTATTTCTGGGTGCAATATCAAAATAATGTAAGAATAGAGATCAAATACAAATCTGAGCATTAATTAACACTATTATGCTAATTTCCAGGTTATATATTTGTATTTTGTGCCTCTACTGTGACACGAATACATACAAAAAGTGCTTTATTTTTCTCACAGTCCCTGTGCTGCAGCACCTCTTTTTACCCTCTGTCTGAAACCAGAGAGTGACGGTCTGCTCTGATTGGTTAGCTGGCCGGCTCTGTTGGGATTGGTCAACCACGAGATGTCCTGCCCCTTTGCCTACCACGTACAATGTGTCAGAGCACTAGCCAATAGAAGCACAAATGTTACGTAGTGATGTCACAGACGTAAAAACAAAGGAGTCCAAGGAAGGCGTTTCAGGGAGAGAAACTCTCTCTGGAGGGAAAACAGCCCATAAGGGCCCCTTTAAAGCATAAAGTCACAATATTTGGTTTGGGTGCTGCCGAGTCTATTTCTTCTTCTGTCATTTCTAGATTTTACTTTTATACTATATGTATCCTATACATTAGGGGTGTCAAACTAAATTTCATTGTGGGCCACATTAGCATTATGGTTGCACTCAAAGGGCCGGTTGTAACTATATAAATATACATAAATACACAATATATATGAAATAATGTATTATATTATATTATTGCCTCTGCATTGGAATTGTATTGGATAGGGTAATAACTTCATAATTAACTACGTCTGAAAGCAGAAGTCTGGGGCAAATAATTGCAAGTCTCTTCAGTGCGCATGTCACAAAATGAGATGCATTGTGGGACATATAGTTTATGGGCAACATGCTTCTGTAAGATAAGATAAAATAAGATGGACCTTTATTAATCCCCGTGGGGAAATTCAGTAGTTTAACAGCAATAGGGTAAGATTGAAAAACAGGACAGCACAGATTCACACAGATTAATACAATTAAGGATAAATCAAAGATAAAAATTAAAAATGATAAATAACTATAAAATAAAACATTTATAAAAAATGAACATATATACATATACTGTAAAGAAGCATGTAACCGTGTAATAAACGTATTATATTCTTTGCAAGCTCTTGCGGGCCACATACAATGAAGTCGCGTGCCGGATTTGGCTCCCGGGCCTTGAGTTTGACAACCCTGCTACATCATACAACATCATTTGAAATCTTTTTATTTTTGTATGAACATAATGAATATCCCACAAAGCACCAGTCTTTCTAATAAGCAGGTATAAATGCAGCATTTGAAAAAGGCCAAATGGTGTTTTGTTAGAAGGCTTCATGGTGGACACATTACGTTAAAAAAAAAGTGGAAGACAAATGGATAGGAAAGATGAGAAGACACATGACTTCATCACTTGGGAGACACTAATTTAATAATGTGGAGTGGAGGGTACTTACGTGGGATGGTCACACTGAAGTGCTGGGGGTCTGAGATCAGCAGTTTCCGCTTTAGCTCATTCAAGCCAACTCCTGTGGGTCCTGGACAAACACAGAAGCACATGTGAATATTAAAGAAGTCACAGAGTCCATCAGCACCTCTCTTAAATCAGTGTAGAGACAGGCTGCCATGCTGAAGGTCTTCCACTCTCTGGTGACTGACCTCGTTAGGGTTATTAGGAACACCTGTGCTTCTCATAATTTGACCAGTCATAATGTATGCTCTAAAATTAAACATAGTACAGTATGTATCCCAATACAGGCTTTATAAAGTGTTTTAATGAACTTTCATCACTAACAATACATTATCACCAATAGATTTATCTGGGATATCGAGTCGAAAAGAGACCCAAAAAAGACTGATTCAAAAAAAGAAAATCTAAATGTAAGCAGCAAACCTGAAATATATCCTTATATGTTTTATCTTTTATGGGTCTTACACTTCCGATAATGCAATTTTTCGGACGCCCCAATATTCATAATAATGATAATAACTTGTGTTTGTGAGTGCAGTGGGATGAGTCACTGAGGTTGGAAGGCTATCTCAAACAGATGAGTTTTCAGGGTTGACTTAAAGATGTCCAGAGAAGGGGCATTACGCATTAGCGGGGGAAACAACCTGGCAAACAACTATGTCCTAAATCTTTTTCTAACTCCTAGTTTTTAAGAAAAATGTAAAACATGGTAAATCTGTATTGTTTTTCAGACTTTAGAATATTCTTCTCAGAGCTACAGTTTTCAATAGGTAAGTTGTCCCTTTAAATAAAAGTAAAAAAATACATTAGACTATTTTACAAGAGTACAACTGCAAATGGTCCACGATTATATTACTAGTTATATAATTACTATGAGGGAGATAAAAAGGGGTCGCATATCAAACAGTGCTTTTTATTATATTGGAATATATGAGTTACTTTCAGTTTATCACTATATTCTTTCATTTATTATGATCCCTAATTTCTATAACTTTATATTTTATTTGGATCTATTTCATACAAATAGTTATCTTAGTTTTCTTACGGAGACCATGCTAACAGTACTTCTAGACCTCGAAGTGTTCCCTTTTTCTTCTCTTCAAAAATGATTTCAGTCTTCTTGTTATGTAATAATGAATCAATTTACCACGGGTCAACATTTATTTCAGATTCAATTAAAACACAATAGATGCAGTAAAAGCCTTTGGAGCAAAGATAATTGATTTCACAAGACAAAGTCATGGGTATTCTACAGTTACAGGTCATTATGTAACAATTAAAGGAACGTTTTTTCATTGTAGTTTGGCGGAACATTAAACCTTCAATATAGGTACACAGTAGAAGTGACGAAGCCTTTTCCACGTATTGTTGCAAGTCAGCTGGACTTTCCATCAAATCCTCAGGGGGAAATCTGAGGCAATGGGTTGGATTTAATAGCAAACCCTCCAACATGTGGATATGGTAAAGCTCAATCAGACTGAGCAAAGTAATTCAATTTTGATATTAAGGAACACAAAAAAATATGCCAGAACGTTGTTTACACTGGTTTTGATTTCGAGGAAGTCACCAAATCCATTTCCAAATGTTCTATCTTCTATTACAGTTTCCCTTCTGTCTCTTTTTCTGCTTTCTGTCTCTGATGCCATTCTCCAGTATTTAAGTGGTTGTTACATGGGTACTACATCATCTTGAATTTGAACTGACTGGCATCATTGTCCTCAACAAACTGGACAAGAAATCAGTTTTGGAGTAACAAGTGCACGGCTCTGCGTTTCAGTGTTTTGTGTGGACTTTTAGAGACAGCGCTTGATCTGGGCTTGAGATTCCTCGCATGCCTGACGTTCTGGGCAGGCACTACAATCGCATCGAAGCCTTTTGGAAATTCATTTCTCCAGGCAAATGTGTTTAGCAGCAGGCTGCTCCACTAAAACAAACGGACAATGAGTTCACTCAGCGATGCGGATACGGTGGAAAGAGAAGGAGAGATATAAAAAAAAGGTTGAAAAAGACAAGCTTTATATTTCTACGAGTAAAGTACTCCCGTTTCCTCTTGTTCCATCTTCACTTTGCTTCTACATTTCATCAGATGAGAAGCAGGAAGGTTTCAGAGGGGCCCACAACCTGATAAATAGGTGTGGACAACAGGGCTCCTTTAAGCATAATCTCTGACAGGGTAGCCTTTACACACAGACAAATTCACACCCCATGCTTTCCTTTTACTTCTGCACCCAGTAACACATGGTTTGGGTCCGATATGTGCGACTGCTGTAAGTGATAAAAGCTGTTTCCTCAGCGCGCTTACACTGTGAAGCTGACCCTCTTTGGACGGACGGCGTGAAGCATTCTGTGGTTACCGTCTCTCAAACAAGCACATGGCCAGGAGAAGACAGCGATCAATCTTAGCTTGGGAGTTTTTCACTGAGGAGAAAAAGTCAGAGTACCTGGGGGTTGAGAGACTGCGTGATTTATTAAGATGAGGAAATGGAGTTCATTTCAAATTTGTTTCGGGAGTACAGGAGGAATGCGGAGGTGCTGTTTGAACAAGGCCGTGGACCAATGTTGTTGTAGGTGCTGAAGGTGGCAGAGCGTGGTAAAAGAGGCTCTTTTATGAGCCCTATCGCAGTAGTGCGGACAGTCCTCCCGGCAGGCCACAAACCTCCACACAAGCTTGTTTGCATGAATCTAAGCGTAGATATTAAGGCCCGGGCGCAGGGGACTAAGAGAGACATTTCTGCTACCCTTCGTATGAGTAACGGCCCCACTTCTACACACTCGTAAAAACATTTTCACCTTACATATCGTTCCCTTGCTTGCCACTTGTGATATCAATGATGCATGGCAGCAGGCCTTCATCAGAATACCTCGGATGGCGATTAAAGCTTATTCCAGCTGTACCACTGCCTGCCAAGGGGGCCCAACAGGACCACCACCGGGTCTTTTACAAGCAGAAGCTGTGTCCTGTGGTCCCGTTCCACCGTCTGACCTTAAACACGCCACCTCTTTGTGCATTGTTTGTCTTTAACAATGCCCCAATACATCAGCAAAGTTATAAATTTGAATGCCACAATTAAAAAAGGCATAACAATTTTTTGGGACGAAAGCTGCCAGTTTCATTTATTGTGTTTATGTGTTTTTCTCTCCCTACATTTGTGTCTCTCGCTGGCCCTCTTGCGGTGCTTCTGGCCTTGCAGATTGGTATGCTAGTAAATGTGTCAGATTTCATTACTGCACTCATTAGAGAAGTTGCTTTTAATATCGCAAGCTTAATAACTTCCAGGCCAACCGTGGAGCGGAACGCATGTAGTTTGTACTGTAAGATGCAAAGGCCAGGCCCAACGAGGCCCGGCTCGGGGCCCTGACCCGGCCCCAAACGTCCCGGCCAGCCTCACATTCAGGGCAGTATATATATTACAGCTCTACTCATAGTGCTGGCTGTGCTGCTACCACATTTAAAGGATGACAGTGGTGCAATGCGGTTACCACAAGTCATTTACAATACACTGCTACTGCATTTTAAAGAGGAGTTGAAATGGAGCCCTCATTTTATAAATCAGGAGACCACATATACATTCACTTAGGCATAGGTGTATATAAAAGAGATTGGAGCTAAACCCCAAACTTAAAGCTTCCAGTTAATCAAAAATCTTACTGTGAGTTTAGTGTCAAGTTACAAGGAAATGTGGAATTAGCAAAACCATTTTTTCAGGTTAGATAATCAGATTCTTTCAAACGTATCAGTGGTTGAGTCGATCTATTCATGCAATATGTAAATTGTATTTTTATTGGCTGATTTAAAATCTGATTATAAGTATAAGAACCCAGATAAGCATCTTGATTTGTCTTTAAGACAGATCTCAGACTCTGCGCGAGAGGTGGGCAGCAGGGTACTGTGACACGTGCGTCCGCATAAATGAAGAAAGGCCTTTTGGGATTCCTTAAGATCTTTAAGAAGGGAGATGTTTGATATGAAAAGGGGGATTGTGGTTGCCGAGGTCCTGTCAAGGTGAGGGATGTGTCCTGTATAAAATAATGCAGACTTTACTCATTCTTCTCTGAAGTATTACATTGACCGTCTGGTCAACTTCCCCTCCCACTCATTTCTAAGCTTCTCCACATGTTAATTTTGTATCAGCTGGAGTATGAGCAATGCCCATAGTGTACATTTGTAAAGGAACACAAAAGAGCTGAAATGCATTACACTGTGCTATCTGCTCTAACATGAATTTAGCATGTCAGGCTATAAAGGAGGCTAAGCCATGTTGTTAGCAAACTATTTTGTTATGTTTTTTATCAAATCATGTATGTATCAATAACATTCTTAGTTAAGGCCCATTCAGCAGTTTTGTTAATTCAATATGAGTTGGCTGGACTGTGTGTCGGCCTGAATTTGGAACTACTGTTAGCTTAATTATATGGTTAGCAAAAGCTGCTTAGCCTGCTGGTGACAACAGTAACTTCAGCTGAGAAAATCCACAGTCGCCTGTTACATATGAGACGCCTGCTTATTTCTGCCTTTGTCTGTAATAAAGGACACATTGTTTCAAAATACATTACATACAATCAATGGTATATGTATGTACATGGTAAACTGCAAGTTTGCTGCTAATGGTCGACTCTGGGTGAAAATTGAAAATGACCAGAGTATAGGTTTGATGTTGGGAATTGCTTGGATAAAGTAAATGAAGAATGTTGAAAACACATGCCCGTACATTGAGGGATAAAGTGTTTCACCCCTGAACAGAAGGAGGGAAGGGCAGTTACACAGAAAAGCATTGGCGAGAAAATATTTTTCGAATAAGAAAAATCAAGAGACTCCGGGGAGAGGAAGAAGGAGAGAGGGAGGCAGAGAAACATAAAGCAGATCTTTCCTTGGTCCTTCGCTTCATTACGTGTGAAATTGTCCATAGGTTGTCCTCGAAAATTATGGACTTTAATTGAAAATATTTACATTAGCATGACAGGCGGGAGAGGTTCAGCCTCTGTGTAAGGCTGTGACATGCAGGCAGGAAAATGGGCTAGCTAATTAGCAACACGCCTGATGAAGTCCATGCTCTGCGTGGCGTTTTTTAAGTGAACCAAGGCCTGTTCAATCTACAAGCTCAACTCTGCAGAGAGCATGCGTGAGAGTGCGAAATAAAAAAGAAAAGAGAAAGACCTTGTTGCCAGTGGTGTTCATTTTTAAAATTAACCTCACAAATGTTTCAAATCTGCTGTCAGATAGTGCGAAAAGAAAAAATGGAACCGTACATTTCCTCCCTTGATGAATGGAAATAGATTGGAAGGAATCAAAATGTAAGGAATGTTTTGTTCCATCCGAGTCTGGGACATTCTTGTCATTTTTGTCATGATGGAGTAACACAATCTAAAAAGGGAAACGTGGAAAAAGCTAACTAACGGTACAGTTGGTCCCGGGAAAGATTTAAGTCTTACTGTTGCACCTGGCTTAGCATATTGTTCCACCATTCACTGGCAAAGCTCGTCTTTTCACCACAATACAGAACGAGAAGCCGCTAAATTCATTTCAAGACCATGGCACGTTATAAAGCTCTTTGGAAGGTCTCCTCGAGGCAAGTGTTAAAAATTCCACGGGCTCGACAAATTGAAAGGACATTGAAAGTGGGTGCTGTAAATGAAAGAACTAAATGTGACTGATTAATATGAGGTCTGCTCTGTCGATTCCTTGTGGTGCTAACATTTTTTAAATTAAAGGAGGAATGACTGTGCGTAAGGCCCCGCATTGGGAAGCTTATTTCTGGTTTGGGGGTCGTGGAAGGACAAGGCCGGGCCACTCTGGAGCTCACAGTCTTTTCTGTGATTTGTATTTGTCACCATGCTTGTGTGTGAGGAACATTATTAAATCTATGGTGCCAAAGCGTGAGGTAAGCATTGATATTGTCATTTTTTCCCAGCTTTTTTTACTCACCTACTAGGATCACCAGCCTGTGCTTAGCCCCGCTCTGCCTGCGGTACTGGGTGACCTCTTCGTACGTGGGCACGTCAGCCATGTCGTACATTTCGCTTTTTTTACATTCGTACATGGTCTTGTTGGTCTTCTTTTCCCTCTTGCTCAGACGGAAGCTTCTTCTGAAACCAGCTGGAGGTCAGGATGAAAAGAGACAGGAAGGGAGAGGAGACAGAAAGAGAAACATTAATCCAAAATGTCCGCCAACACAAAAACCTTTGTGTCCGTGTGTGTGTCTATGAGGAGTTTCTAAATTCAGACACATGTATGTACACACAATGGCGCAGCTGTGCATTTCGATTTATAGTCGTTTCAGCGTCTTGGCACACACCTCCACAGCTCCATGTCCAATACCTCATATTGTTTTGTGCAGCTCAGTTTTATGACCGCTATCTTTTGCTGTAGGTGAAAGAAGAACAGGGCCAAGCCGTTTCCCTGGATCTCGAAGCCTAACACATTTTCTTCTGGTGACATGCAGTAGATTTTAATTTTCTTCTTTTCTGCATGTCTCGCCAGATTTATTGTGTAAAAAATAAAAAACTAGATGTTCCTTTTATGTAATTCACTGCTACAGTATGTGAATGTACCACTAGCCTGTGGATGGTTGTTCACATAACTGTCAGGCTATGATTTGTAATTCATTCACACCGCAATTTTAGAATGTAATGAGGTATGTGTGTGTCCATGTATGTGTGTATCGTTTCGTGTTCTTGGCTGGCCCGCAAAGCAAAGATTGCACTGTGCATACGGGTCGTTTTACATCAGCCGTCGTATCTGATTGGTTTACAGTGTGCGTCCTGTCCTTGGACTGCCGTCACAAAGGCTTCTTAACATACTGATCCAAAAGCGCACACTCCTTGATCTGATAATCTACAACAGAATCAAAAGGAGATATTTACCCCTAATTTTAGGACCACGGTTTAATATTCATGACAGATGTGGAACCTAATAGGATGTAAATCTCCAGAACTATGGACGTTTAATATCTTATTTCTGCTTGAATTCATGCAGCCTTCTCTTTTATTATTTCAGTTTTTAACGAATATGATGCAAGATTAGCACGATAAATGACAGACTAGGAGAAGAATCAGGAGTTGAAACAGATCCTGATATCCGCCCCCTTAATACTTTCCACAACATTTTTAAACCACATTGGGGCTGTGCAGGAAAAAGAAAGTCTGCATTCTTCTCAGCTTGTTCTTTTCCAAACAGTCCCTTAATAAGGGATGGAACTACAGACCTATGCTGAGTTACAAATGAAACACACTATGAGTCACTGGAGCAGAATAATAATGTTTTTGCACGAGCCTGTGTACACGTATGAGTGTGCACACGCGCCTGGATATAGTGTTACACTGAACATTTACGGCAGACTTTGTTCCACTGTGGGCAAGCTGCGGCTTACGATGTCTGTGCCATTTCTGCTGTGGTTAATCTACTCATTCAGCACCCCCCCCNCCCCCCCTCTCCCTCCCCGTTACACCCGCCCTCACCCAAGGAGTATTAGCCACTGCCACACAGTGGAAAACATCCACCGCTCATCTGCATTTCTCCTGTAGAGACATCAAACTGTAACCGATACCCACAGGGGTTGACATCATTACAATAAACATGAACAGTTAATGATATCCTATTGAAAGTGTGGAGTCAATTTCCTGGACATTTAAAACCCAAGTCATTTTTCTCAATAAACACAACCGGCTAATTAGGCTTAAGTAATACTATGATGGTCGTTAATTCTATGTGTCTGTACCTTGACAAGCTACCGTCTTATTGGATAGGGTCAATCGCAATCTTACTTTCCACTTTGCAGGCAGGTGCAGAGGGTTTCATTACGAGGCATAACAGTTATAAATTGTCGTTTCTTAGTATTGTAGTGCCCCTCAAGATCACTTGAAAATGTTTAGACAGCTCCATCGAAATAATTGTGGAGAACTATCCTGCGTTCCACTCTAGCGCTGCCTGAGGAAAGATAAATCAAAGTGTAATTTAACCGCAAGCAGCACCCAGTCCTTCACCAAAACCTCCAACAACCATCTCAACTTCAGCACCAACGGAGACTCAATTCCACAAAGGGGATGGACATGCATTTAACCCAGCGTTAGGGAGTGATTCAAATCCTGTTTGTCCTGAAAAGCCCTAAAGTTAGTTGGAACACCAACATGTTTGTCACAGGATGATCCTGGCACAACTCTTGCGAGTAGAAAGGAATGTATGATGTGAGTGGCACTGACATCAAATAATAATAATAATAATCATTTGACAGGTCAAATCTGTTGACAACGTATCTGTTTTTAATTTGTTCTGTAATGAGAGCTGCAGGCAGTGTCCTGGTGTGTTTTTCTTGCAAAAAAAATAGTGTGGTTAGTGGTATGGAGTTAAAGTTTCCTTGCGACTGGATGATTACCAAAACTGCAATTGAAAACTTGCATGTAAGCACACAAACACACCATCTTCTCACTCTCTTCTCTCTAACAGACAGAGACATTTTGATTCAAAATCCTTTCAGCAGAACATTAGAATGAAAAAACAATGACGGAAAGAAAGACAAGCATATTTAATGTAGTGTAAACACAAGCTGTGACCACACACACACACACACACACACACACACACACACACACACACACACAATCGCTTGAAAGTCGCCAGCTGTCCTTCAAGCCCATTTTCCAGTGTGATAATATCTAATAGCCACGTAGGAAATAGAGCATCTGCGTAAAGAAAGCGNACAACCAATGATGAAGGAAACATTAAAAGCTTAGGAAAAAACTAGTACCGTATTTTCCGGACTATAAGTCGCACTTTTTTTCCTAGTTTGGCTGGTCCTGCGACTTATAGTCAGGAGCGACGTATATATGTTTTAAATGTCAATTCATGCTGACTGACATGAACCGTCTACAGCCACCAGAGGGCGCTCTAGGCTTGTGACAACTATATGCTGCCCCTGTACCACTGTAAAAAACGAAGAAGAGAGCGGACGGTTCTTCCGGGTTAGCTGCTTGTTAGCCATCTGTTGTTAGCCGTCTTGTTAGCTTGTTAGCCGTCTGTTGTTAGCCCGCCGTCTTGTGTCCGGTGCGGCGCAGGGTCCACCCCTACCAGCCCAGCGGCCGAATGCTCAGTGGGTGCGTCCGAGATGCCCCGTCTGTCCCAGCAGTCCTCCGCCGGAGCGCGTCAAGGGGTAGAAGCATGCCACCCTAGCCCGACTCGCAGAGCCAGCCTCCAGGTAGAAGGTATGTGTTGCGTTAACATACCGGACCTGTGTAGTTAATAACTTCCCTTTCCAGTTTACCGTAAATGTNACCACACACTAACACTACACTACAGACACACATCCACGAACTACGACACACACGACACCACACACACACACACACACTAGAGGGTGCTCTTGACTCTTGGAGGAGTTTGAATAGTTTGACTAACTATGAAGACCTCAATGAGTGGCCTGTCTGAGAGTCTCGAGTTATGACGCGTCGGAACGTTAAGGATGAATGACTCTGCTCTGCTCCGTCGCTCCTTCCTCCTCTCTTCATACAGCTACGCGTTCGCTCTTTCATTTCTGATCTTATTCTTTCTGTCTTATGCCACACGCTGTCTCTCTCTGTGTGTGTGTGTGTGTGTGTGGTTGTGTGTGTGTGTGTGTGTGTGTGTGTGTGTGTGTGTGTGTGTGTGTGTGTGTGTGTGTGTGTGTGTGTGTGTGTGTGTGTGTGTGTGTGTGTGTGTGTGTTGTGTGTGTGGCCATTTCCCCTCTCTCTACCCCAGCTCTCTCGTTCCCCTCCGGCGACGGTCGTTTCGGCTCTGAACGACGGACAACGTAGAGACACAAAGAGTACTCTATCAAATGACCCTCTAATAAGTGTAAGAACATAATCGAATAATCCGTGACGAGGTTTATACGTCTCGCTAGAGGGTAGTAGGTGTCCGGGTGTGACTCCGACAAACCAAGATAATGCGTGTAAGTAAAAAAAACGATGTAAAGGAGAGAAGAGAAGGATGTAGGATATCTTTGAAAATAAGTTACCTTTATAGACACGAAAGCGACATTCACACACTCTTCAAAAACCCCCTTATATCTTATCATAGTATTCGCGCGCACAAAATTTTAACCCAAGGTAATATGACAGGACTGTGGCATATGTCAATGAGTACGTTACGAACTGATCATACTTGGTCGCGATACCTACTTCTGAAGGTTTTAAACTAACTTGTTATCTAGTTATGACATGTATCGCGCATCACACACATCGGTTTTGACGTTTTCTACTCTTTACCACAAGAATTTGGGTCCCTACATTAGTAAGGTTTGTGAATGACTATCCTCCAGGTCAGATTTCACCTTTCTGGACTATCGCCTGCGAGAGTGACACTACAAGAAGAAAAGACTGATATGTTCGCGATAGTTGCTACCAACGACATCGATCGAATCATCTTTACTTTATTGTGTTAGGTTACAAATATCTAGTAAATTCTGTCAGAACCCTAAGAGATAAAGTAGGATATACTTCGAACTTATAGTAAGTCCGCGACGTAGACAGCGGTGTGTACGGAGAAAAGGACACACACACACACACACACACACACACACACACACACACACACACACACACACACACACACACACACACACACACACACACACACACACACACACACAATCGCTTGAAAGTCGCCAGCTGTCCTTCAAGCCCATTTTCCAGTGTGATAATATCTAATAGCCACGTAGGAAATAGAGCATCTGCGTAAAGAAAGCGCCGGAGGCCTTAGCAATCTGTGAATGCAAACTGCCCACTCGGACCCTAACATCCTGTGCATTGCTACAAACCCGCACCTGTTGAAGAAATAGCCGACACTGTAAAAAGAAAACAGTACAGTGCATTAAGACAAATGTACATACAAAAATAACAGATGGTTCGAAAAGGCTCATTTGCCAATGTCTGTCTGAAAGGAAGAAGAGAAGCCTGAGAATACCAGCATCAGGTCTTCCAGACATTACTCGTAGGCGAACAGTGAGATGACAACAGAGAATAGAATAAAAAATGAAATTTTTCCTCCGATTAGACTTCATTTTGTGTGGAGAGGGAGAGTGAAAACGTGGAAAAGAAAAAGGCTCATAGTGAAACCACCTGTTGCGAGGCACCGATGCCGTGTGGGCCGCCGTCTGAGGCCGAAGTCAAACTACAGGAGACTGTGCTGACAGCTCCAGTGCCATCCTGGCTCTCCCAGAGGGGGCCCTCTCGCTCTCAGTTTGGACTAATGGAGACGACATCTATGGAATTAACCATGCATGGCAGCTGGAGATTAAGTGAGTATTATTCTTGTGGCACAATGCCCTACGCTGTGGTTTAACGCTGTAACACTTAGTGGGCACCAAATGTGGGAAGCATTAGCAGCTCTCGCGCCCTCACTGTGTGCGCCCATTACTGGATGGGTTAGAAAGGATGAGGAAGGCTCATGGTAGGCAGCTAGGGAGGTGCAGGGCGCTTTCCATAATGTCAGCCATTATTACCCCAATGCTGAATAAAAGAAAGAGGAGCGTGGCTGCTTATAATGACAAAATACAAAAGCGTTTGGAATGATGCAGACTGAATGACTGGTCTGATTTATCATCGTTTTGCTACAAGGAATCCAAGGAAGACAATATATACCCAGATTGCAACGGACAGAAGTTGAGCCATGATAAACAAGAAAAGAGGAGAGGAATCAGGAGAGGAGAGAAGAGGAGAGAGAAAGGGAGGCATCAGGAGAGAAAAGGAGAAAAGAGGAGAGGAATCAGGAGAGGAGAGAAGAGGAGAGAGAAAGGGAGGCATCAGGAGAGAAGAGGTGAAAAGAGGATAGGAATCAAGAGAGGAATGAGGTGAGGAGAGAGACAGAGAGGAATCACAAAACTAATCGGGAAAGTGGAGAAGAGGAGAGGAATGAGGAGAGGAATTAGGAAAGGAAAGGAATCATTAGAGGAACCAAAAAAAGGAGTGGAGAGCAGTAAGGAGACGAGAGAAGATAAGAGGATTCAGGAAAGGAAAGGAATCATTAGAGGAATCAAAAAAGGAGTTGAGAGCAATAAGGAGGAGAGAAGATGAGAGGAATCAGGGGAGGAGAGGAATCAGGGGAGGAGAAGAAAATAATCTGGAGAGGAACCAGGAGACCAGAGGCCAATGTCGTAAGGACAGCACGTGAAAAGGAGGAAAGGGACATTTCCAGGCAGACGTGTGTCCTTCAAATGCTCCCTCCACACAACTGTTAACAGGCATCTGTGAAACTGATTATGGTACAGTAGTAAAGTGTGCTCCAAGGCTGATCTTAGAATACTCAATTGTATCAAACGTCAAACTGTTCCTGGACAAGATCACAACGTTGTATCCATACAGTACCAGATCTAACCTCTGGATTTGACTCCTCAACTACAAAATCAAAGCAAAAAGGGAAAGTTCTTTAGCGTGACATTTGAAATATGTACGTGTGGCAGTCCACGGTGGTGAACTCATTAGAGTGTTATCTGGGGAGAACACATTCTGGGAGTAGTTTCCACGGCCCCCGCACAAAGCTTTTGGAAAGTGGTACCCAGGCTTATACGGTGGAATAGCGCAATAGACCTTTGGCTGCAAGAGGTTCATTTGTATCGAGCGCTATTTGTTTTTCCCCTCCATCGTATCCCGCGGCACTTTGGGATCAGGAATGTCTCGTCTCCAAACGATGCCTGATGCCTTATGTTGGCAAAGAGAAACACACACGCACAAGTACTTTTGCTTCTACTGGAGTCCTTGAAGCCACTATCAGCATGCCAATAGGGACCTCTTAGAGCCAAAGCACTGATTGCTTTCCTGTTTGTCTCATCAGTCCGATGTCAAAACAGAGAAGATGCTTTACAACAAAGCTACGTTCAAGGGAATTCCAGTCCATCTATCAATTTTGTACAATGATCCGTTGCTAATGCTAATAAAAGCACCCCTCTCAAGCCAGTGTGTATACCTGCTATGATAGAATCAAAATGTTGGCTTTCCATAAAACAAATATCCTTTTAATCTGAAAAGGTAAGTCCCCTCTGTTTGGACTCAGATAGGGAAAAACTCAGTAATCCCGATATATTGGCTCCTGCAAGTCCTCAATTATTTAAGCTACAGCCTGATGAACTCATCTCGCTTTGGAAATGGAGCATTTTTTATTTCAGTTCATAGCACTTTACCATTTTTTCCCGTAACTTGGACATAATTGGATTGTGAGGGGCTGATGAATATCCCAGCCCCCAATCGTTCAACTTTAACTGATTTGGGACTACTTGCTTGCCCTCTGTTCACCCGTCTTTCTCTCTGGATGTTCAGTGTGCGACTTTTGTGATTTTAGGTATTACAATAGAGAATGTCATAATGCCTACTCCTCATAGTCTAAATATTTGAAGGTTCTGGTTGTCAATTGAGTGCACTGATGGTTCTTTAACATAACAAATGCTCCATGGGTGTCAAACCGTTGATACAGAATTGAAAGGCTCCTAATACTACTTGTCTAGAAAGACCTGATAAGAAGGTGGACTTAATTCTTGAGTTTGCTGGCTCTAGAAGCAGCAACATCAGAGCACAGGAATCTGCTCGCCCCCAGTAGAGCTCCAGGATCACTTTTGGCAAATGAACTTACAGACGTTGCATCACTGAGAGAGGCATGAAGGGGAAACAAACCAAAAATCTAAGGACAACAACCACCTACCCCCTCCCACCGCCTCCTTTATTTCCCCATGCAACCTCAGTAGCATTGCAAAAGCATCTGTAAGTTCTAGGATTTCAAACTTTTCAGGACGGGCCAACTCTAAATCACACAACCACATCCAACAGGCTGAAAAGCCATGCAGCAAGTACTCGCATAGAGAAGATGTTATTATAACTCAGATTTTCTTTTCTCCTCCTCCTGAGGGTCTCTCATTTCAGTTAAACCTCGTTCTGGGCTGCTTGAGTCAAGAAATGCTGCTAACCCGCTAGGGTGCTGGATGTTGTTTGGGTACCAAAGGAGGAAGAGGAGAGGCTGAGGTCATTGACCTTATGCAGGAGGCAGGGTGACAGTAAGGGCAAGCCTGAAGGGGACAGAGCAGAGTGAAAATACTGGACTGCTATTTGGCATAGTCCGGCCGTAGGAAATGACCCTGATTGAGCTTGGCAGACATGGCTCAAACTCAGTATTTATAAACCTGTGTGTGCACTGGATATCCTGTGAAATCTGGAGTCTAAACTGTGTAGTGTGCAGGGAGAGCTCTGAGGCCAGCTCACCTCTTGACCTCAACGTCTGAATATAGACAAAATGTGACAGAGAGAGAAGGAGAGAGAAATAAAGAGACAGAAACTGAAAGAAAAAGGCAGAAAGAGGATTAGAGTGCGAGCCAGCTACTAGGGCCTGTGGTCCTCCAGTGGGACGATACCTTGTGATTTGTTAGGGAAATGACAGTGGTAATAAAAACACGAGTACATTTTCTGTACAAGACAGATAATTGGATGCAGCTCCTTGGGAAGAGCTGCAGAACTAAAGCGGGCCACGGTAATTGTCATTAAGTCTGACCAGGACCACATCAACTAAAACCAGGACTGGGATGGACTTCCAGAACAAAACGAGAAAAAAAAAAAAGCCTTCTTTTTTACCCAAATTCATCCAGAACCACTCTCAAAAGATGCCTTTAGACCCGCAGCAGTGGCACACCAGAATAAGTACTATATTCTGCAATTCCATGACATGATCTGCCACTGCACTCATGCTGTCAGCAAGAGGGCAGAAATAGCACACCGTAGGCCAGTGAACCAGAACTACTACTTTATGTTTTTACATGGGGGCCCAAGTTTAATGAGTTGTGCCAAAAAAAGGAGTATGTCAAGTACATTATGAAAGAACAGTTATCCCTTTTACAGTGAAATAATGCATGTGTACACACTATATAAGGAAGGATTATTGTTGAGGACCCATGACAATCTAACACAATCTCGGCGACTGTCTTCAAAGTTAACAGATCAGAGAAATGGGCACATCTGGAGGGTATAGGACAGAAAGAGGAGAAGAAAGCACCGTCTCTCACCTAGCTGGAATCCGCTAATAGAGTCAGCGTCCTCTGGTTATGAGAAGAGAAAGAAAGGGGGGCCAGAAAAGAGGCAAATGAAACATGTAAAAAAGAAAAGTCAGAAAAGAAAGCAACAGGTACTTACCCCTCTGAAACATACTGAGAGGCAAAAGTCCATAGATAAAAAAACACAGGTATATTCAACACGACAGACATCTGATTAGATCGGTTTTGGTATTATTGTTGGTGGAGTTTGTCCACTCTTTCCAAAGTGATAGCCAAGGATGTAGTGGTAAATAAGACAAGGGTTCACTATGACCTCCAGCCATGCGTCACGAGTCAAATGAGAACCAACATAATCAAAAGAATATGTTTAAATAATCATTTGAAAACTGTATTTTGGTTTATAGTCCACTACATCCCTGGCCATGCTATGGAGGGTTTGTTTTCTTTAATGTTATTAATAATGTAATATTATGAGTGAGTTTGGCAGGCGCAGGGTTACGGGTGTTGTCCATGTGTACAAATGATTCTCCAAACGATGAAAACGACAGGTTAGCAGGTGAGAGCCAATAAATCGTAAACTCTCCAACATTTTGAAGAGGGGAAATTGACAGGGGCGCCTGATGCTCTGCTTTGAATACGATTAGCTTTGACGTGAAGATACAGGCCAAATGAAAACAAGTATGGAGAGCAGAGGTGAGAGGTAGACCTTTTGTTACACACAACATGATGAAGGCTAACCAAGCACAATGCTAATGTTTGGCCATATTGTATTAGCCAGTGACCTATTAGTAATGGCCTATTCAATGGGAGATGTTAGACAAGTAGTACCTTCGATCTCCTCAGCTGTGAGTGCAATAGAAGCAAGGAAGGGAAATGAGTCAAAGTTGGATTACAGAAAGTAGTTTAGGGACAATACAAGAGAATAAAGAAGAGGAAACATACCAAACTCTACAGCCACATCGTCTTAGAAAAGCAAGACAAAAGAAGAAACAAATGACAAAAAAAGAGTTATCATCTTAAATTAGAATTTGTTGTCAGCTGTTCATGCTGATTTGTCTCCATCTATTATAAAGAACACAACATTCACACATTTTATTACATGTTGTTTTGTGTTCAGTCATTTCTTGTATAAAATAGATATAGCTCGTTCTAAAATGTGATTTTGTAATGTTTAAGGAAAACGCTCTCTACCACAGATATTGTCTAAAAGTAAAATAACTATTAACTTAACAAAAAACAAATGAATACTAACTCAAGGTCCACTCACTAGTTTTTGGAAGCAACTCATGGCCTTCATCAATTGGTCATATGTGCTCAGTTGTCATGACACAAACAAAGTATAGAACTTCAGTGGGAGATTGTAAGCCCCAATACAAGTTCTAACACAGGTTACGAGAAAACGACAACCAATGATGAAGGAAACATTAAAAGCTTAGGAAAAAACTAGTAATTGGACCTTGTATTCAAAACTACAATGTGTTTTTAAAGCTACAAGAATGAACATTGGCATTCTCTAAAAAAATACATTTCTATATTACGGAAACACATGTTTATCCATTGTTACCTAGTGAGACACAGTCATCCATGGTGGCTACAAAGAAGAAAAAAACAAATGTAGATNACTGCACATCACCATGGAAACCTTTGATCTCTGGATACCTCGTTAGCTCAAATATAAACACCTGTGTCATGGAACACAATGATGTCATAACTCCAACTGACATGCTCAGAGCACCAGACTTCAGATAATGGTTAACGGTCCAGCCCTCAACAGCTCTACATCAATTATGGGGTGTCATCATATGCCGTTTCCATGGCGAGGGATGCGTATCCCTCGCCATAAAAGACGATGTCGCTATAACTCCTATGAAAATGTTCAAAAAGTGCTCAAACTTCACATGTGTGCTAACAGTCCAGCCATGAAGACATCTACGGGACAGTTTTGAGATTTCTTCAAATGCCGTTGCCATGGCAACACAATGCTCACCATGAAATACGGTTTTCTCATAACTTGAAAATGCTCAAAACTACCCAAAACTTTACAGGTTTGGTAACGATGCAGCCATCGACGCATCTAAGCGTATTATGGGATGCCATCAAATGCCGTTGGCATGGCGACAGATCATTCGCCATCAAGTTAGTTCAAATATTCTGTTGCTTTTCCAACCCTTTTTACTTTCTTTTCTTCTCTCATCACACATTAAAGCCCCCAGTGTTCATGCATCATTTCAATCGAAATTCTTCACTTTCTTCTTACACATTACATTTCAGCATAGCTGATTTGTTTGGATCACACAAGAAACAATCCTACACAGCCACTGCTAAAATGTTGGTGCACCCTATCTTTGTCTAGTTTCAAGTGCACAGTTTAACAGACTTTAACACAATGAATAGACATGTAAACATAGCAATCTGTGCGGCTATCGAATGTTAATCTAGAGTTTCAATGTCGACATTATCAATGAATTTTCAAAGTGTTCAAATTGGTACAGCCCTAATAATTAGATGTAGATTTCCATCAGTTACCAAATAATTATTGGGTCACTTATGGGAAGTCTTCTCTATTAACCTCAATTGAATTCAAACCTGTCACAATCAAATTAGAGAAAAATAAATGTGAAATTTGTGGCGCCACTTCTGCATTGTTACAAAATCCTCTATCTGACTTCAGCTTTTTCTATCAAAGTACAATTTACTTGTTGTCAGTCTTTTCCATTTTTATTTCTTTATTCATTGCTGTTCTTTTCTCTCACCACCTCCATACGCTTCTCAACCAACCTGAGCTTTAGTGCTGAACAAGGTCAGCCAAACAATGAAAAATATTCAGCTGCTCCTTCCTTTACTGCTGGCCGACAGCACTGTCAGAAGCACAGAAGCAACTGAGGCCAAGGGAGACGACCCGTAGTACGCTGGACTCATCACTGACCTAAGACTACAACAAAGATTTATTTCAAACGTATCACGGCTATGAGATGCCGAAGAAAACACCTCGTAGATAATACACGAACAGAATCTGTCCATCAAAACATCAAAGAAAGTTTGAGTTTCTGGATCTTCTTTGTTTGATGTTCTATGAGTTACTCACCATAGTGTGTTTGTTTTAGATTGAAAGCATCACACTCAGAGTTGTCAAAGTGAGCTATTGACATCTGCATGTCTTCACACACATGCACAGTTTTCTCTACCTCTCAACTTTACGACCTGGCTCTACTATTTCGTGTTGGTTCAGGTTTTGAGCACCTGAAACTTGAATGCTATTGCTGGAACACTCGCTCAACAATAGATTAATTCCAGCACCAAGGTTAGGAGGGAAGGCTTTCACTGTGACTGTGATGTCTAAAACCGTAGGCAGCATGTGGGCTTCAAGAATTCCAACTTTGGTCTCTTTCTGTCTCCATCTGTCCTCCAGGGCACTTGATACCGTACCAGCCAACCCGAGTGTAAATCACAGGTCCGGGGGTGTAAAACACAAGCAGATGGTTGCAGCCTTTGAATGGCGTCTCTGTACGATAGTAACTGTATCACTCTTAATTATAGCTGAAATGATCCATTCCTAGGGTGGGGATATAAATCAGACTCTTTAAAACTCCCCTCTCTTCCTTTCTCTTCCTTGCCTCAAACTTTCTCTTTTACGATTTGCACATGAGAAAACAACTTTTACCCGTATTAGCCCCCCTCAGCAAGACTAATATTGACAGTGATGAAAGTGCCAATTATGATGGCCGGCTGTTTCCGCCGGTGTGTATGAGGGACGACGTGTATACACGCTCACAGTATGTGTTTGACTCGGGGCGGTACGTGCTGAGGTTCAAGGCTTATGGAGGGTAGGCGTGATTGTCAAATCCCAGCTGGCCTACAGCAGCGTCTCAGAGGCAGAACGCACACAGCAGGGTCCTTCCCGCCTAGGTAAAGCAGTAACCCCGCACCAATAGCAGCTGAAAAACGAGTGGGCCCGTGACAGGGCCTGGGGGGCCTTAATGAGAGGCCAACACCAGGAATGTACCAGCAGGTTTATTTAGTCAAGCTCAGTGATCTGTTTTTCTAGAATCCCTATTATGCCTAATGAACACAAACACGTGAACCGAGAAAGGACGGGATGCCTGGAAAACAAGGGTGGCTTCGTTGCCCTTTATCTTTCAATCCGTCCCTCACTCTCTTTTCTGCTCAGCTGCAGGGCCTATAAAAGGATATAGATTTGATTAGGCAGCTAATTCACCGACACCGAGGCATAACAAGACCCACTGACTCATATCAACCCAGGAAGAAAGCTTCCATACAGAGTGTGTTAAACATTTGTACCTGTGTGTAGCTGTACTCGTATGTCAACGGTCACCAGCCAGGGCATGTACCATGTGCTATCTATTAGCATGCATCTGTTATTGCTACTTCCTAGAGAGTTTTTACAAGGAATTAGCTGTGGCTCTGTTACGGGTTGTTAGGCATGGCCATGGGGGAGAGTTTGGCGGTGGGGAGCAATGCCAGATTTGAGGAAGTGCCATCAATAAGAGGACATTCACAATGAGGGATATTATGCCAAATGATGGATAGAGCTCAGAGGAAACAGCGACTGGCAGGTTAGTGGAGGAAAGGTTGAGGTGAGCCTCTGTTTTGTACATTTTGTATTCCTTTCTGCAACAACAACGTTTCTAAATGAATAGTGTGTTTATCATTGAGTCTATCATCATGTCAGAATAAAGGGAAAGGTTTATTTATTTTCCAAATCACCTTTGGTCAACAAAAGTCCATAGTCCAACCTTTTTCAGTTTGCTCCGATAAAAAACTGAAAAAAGCAGCAATGTGTCATATTTGACAAGCTGGATCCAGCACATGTTTATTTAAATTACATTATTTGTGACTTGAACAGTTGAGTTTGAGTTGTATTTATTTACACAGGTTAAATCAGACAAATTAATTGGCTGATTGTCAATCAACTAATTGAATGACAAATTGTTTCACCATGAGCCTATTCTCATTCCAGGCACTAATGGTGGACAGCTCAAACAAATCACTGCTTTTCTGCTTCCCGGGCACCAGGCCTGCATGGGAGTCACACCCCGCCGAGACACTGATAGACGCCTGTACTACGACTGACAGTCAAACACCATAAAGAGAGCCACAACACCACATGTATCCAACCCCAAACTCAAAAACTCTTCCCCTTTCTCCGAGTTAGATGTCACGGCACAGGCTGCCTTTCAACAAAGGATATTTTCATAGTATTTGATACAAGGGCAAATTAAAAGTATATTTCTCATACCCCCTGTGGGAGAAAAAACGGAGAAAAATAAGTAAAAGAAAACAGGATTAGAGATGGTGGCCGCAAAGTCAGAAGCGTTCTTCTGTCAATATTTGCCCTGTGATATTTTATTCTGCTCTGAATGAAGAGCTACTTTCATTCACTGGCTGTGTTATAGAGTCATGTATTTTCTCATATATAGCTAAACCTTCGAATTGGTCAAATCAGTGCACTGCAAATCTGGGTCCATACCATTAAATTGTGCTACGAACATAATACATATGTTAAACATTGAGCACAGGTTTGGGATTCATTCTGTTTACTTTATTTTTCTCATCTGCAAACAGTTTTGGTTTTCTGCGTTCCAAGAGAATAGTTCAACACTATAATGACAGCATCCACTGTTATAAAATACTACACAAGGCGTGTGTTTACGTACAGTGCGGATGAATCCCAGGGACACATTGTTCGGCCTTTCCGAAAAATGAACAAACTGACCCCAGGAACATATTGGTAAAAAAATACATGAAAGATTAAATTGAAGAAGAGCAAACAAAAGACTTTTATGGCATTTTAGAGGAAGACTAAGACACCTAGAGTAACTACGGACCGAAGATAGAATTACAGGTTACATTTAAGAGTTTTGAGTTACAGCCTTTTGTTGCGTACAAGTTTAAATCAAACATTGGGCCAGGAAGAAAAATCAAAGTATTAAAATCTTACTTTTTTTGGTTGTCCTCATGGTTTCTATAGGTTATAATAAATTGTATTGTCAATGTTTTCATCGTTCCCCTACGTTTTTTCTAGATACGTTTGACTAACCCAGGGATTTATTAAAAGCTGGTTTGATTGCCAGAACGCTAGGGTTACTTGCCTGGATATACTTATTTTTTCACTGATGTTTCCATGTTCTTAGATCACAGAAATGAACTTCATTACATTTTCTTATCGGCCAATTTATGCCTTTGTTACAAATTGGAAAGAGATGACAAGAAATTAGAGGAGGGGGAGATGGAATAACTTGCAACAAAGGTCCAGGCCAAAGAGTGCCCTATGTTTACAATGTTATACATTCAGATAGGAATAATGACTACAAGTATAAAAGTAAGACAAATGTTTTAAAGGGCTCCTATTATGCTTTTGGGGGCATCTCTAAGTTGTTGACCAATCACAACAAAGCTGGCCAGCTAAACAATCAGAGCAGACTGGGCTCTGGTTTCAAACAGAGGGTAAAAAGAAGTGCTGCTACAGCAGTATGAGAGATCTATTTGAACATTAAAGCATGTAATCATGTCACAGTAGAGGCAAAAATTACAAAGATGAAAATAATCATAACAGGGCCCCTTTAATAAACCTGCATTATACTTTAAGTTTAGCACTAAGAGAAAAAAAACGATGCAAGACAAGACAAACTCTGTGTGTGTGTTGGTCAGCCTGTCTCTCAGTGGATCTGGGCCACAGAGCTCCAGTTGTGTCTCCTCCTCTCATCTGCTCCCAGTTAGCAACATCTTGAACGCTGTACTGCAGCATGCTCCCATGTCATAAAACACACTGCTCCTCTTCTCACCATATCCTTCTCTCTCTTTCTCTCTCTCTCTCCCCCTCTATACTTTTGTCTGGCACACATGGTGGAAGATGTTTTTCTCACTTTTCTCTCCCCTCTCCTCAACCACGGAAAAAGCAGCACGCGTCCAGCTGCATCTTGGTCCGGACATGCAGTCGTTAAATAGTTTGAAAAATGAACGTCTCAATGGCATCATTCTTGTCTGCGTCCCGTCTCTTTTTCATGTCTGCTCATGAACGTGCGAAATATCCTAGGCCACTGAGAACTTCATTACTTTGAGCTTGCCGACGAACAGCACAGAACAACGCTTCTCGAGTGCCCTAAAACGCTTTGGTATTATAAACCATTGCCAAGGTTGCCCCCCCCCCCCCCCCCATACCCTTTCACTTATGGTCCCTGGTGAGCATTGGTCCAGATGACTGCTGGTGGCCTTTAATCAGAGAAATGTATGTTGGGAGAGCGTGGGGCTAATGGCAATTAATGCATGTAGCTCCAACTCCTGGCTATGAATGCGTTCATATTCATCACCCAGCATTTTAGGCGGACACCTCAATTTATAACCATCCTCCCTGCAGTTGTTTCTAAGAAAGAAATGATGGATTTCACTTTTAATAGCACGTTTTGCTAGACTTTATTTGGCTAATTACACTAAGGTAAAAGCAAAGGCCTTTATGTTTTGACTGATAAACCTTGCCTCTTATTGCTTTCCTCCCATTTAATCCCTCTTGCCCTCTCTTTCTTTCACTAGAGCCTCCTGTCGGTCCACGACACTATCGCCCAGAAGAGTTACGACCCTGAACTACCTCCGCTGCCTGAAGACATTGACGACGATGAGGATTCTGTGAAAATCATTAGACTGGTCAAAAACAAGGAGCCTCTCGTAAGTAACTTTGTCAGTTTTCATATGATATTGTGTGTTTGATTTGCTCGTCGTAGTTTTCAGCAGCTCCCAGAAGTCTGAAAGATGGTTTTGGGAAGTTAACAGATAGTAAAAATGATGTCTTTGGGGTGCCCTAGTGGCCTGGGTGTAAACACTTCCACCATAGGCCTCAACATTCCCGAATAGAGCCAAGGGATGCTAAAGACTTTTTGTTGCAAACTGTTTCCCAATCAAGTTTTTTAAATACTAAAAGAAACCATGTCGTCAAAAGAAATGATTCTTTATCATTTCTGGTTAACATATTTTTGTCACTATAATCCTCCTATCTTGCTGTTGTTTACTTCGTTTCTGAACACACTTCTCGTACCAAAGCAGCATCCATCCCACAAGGCAAGCCAGTACCATACATGCTTTTGAGGTACTTGCCTGTGGGAATCCAACCCACAACCTTGAAGTTGTAAGCACACCAAAACCGACCGCAATTACCCTGCTCTTGGCCATGAGTATTTTCAGCCAGTCTAGGCTCACTGTCTGCGAACGGCTTCCCCTTTTCTATCCTGGTCAGTGTTGCTCTCTCATTGTAACATGCTTCTCACGTCCGTGCTCTTCAGACACCGTCCCAGACGTCAACACCCACTCGTCTCTGTTGGCCTCTGGCCCAATCTTTATTGCAGTGACATCTTGGGCTGTTTGTGTCGTTCGATGGTTTTTATTTCATGCATTTCCCTGCTCTTGTCAGCCAATGCTGCACATTTGGTAATGGGCTTCTGTAACCCCACCAAACCTAATTCCCGCTGGCTTCACCTGATACCTTTACATTTCTTCATCTTTGTCGCCTGATAACTTACGTTTTGCCGTTGTTTTGATTCACTGACTGACCTCAGTGCCCTAGCACATACGTAAACACTCCTTTACTCAAGCTCTTGACCTCCATCTGTCATTGAAGCACTTTGTTGTGTGCTGAGGCTCCGCCCAGCTTTGATCTATGCCGGACGTTTCCTGGCCCCAGCCGCCTCTATTTTCACTTTGTGGTTTTCACCCTAACCACCATCTTGGCTCCAGGCCGGCGCGCTCCTTTCACCACACCCCTGGGGAAGGAGAACACACCTAAACCATTTTTGGGTTGTTGCCTGTTGCATGTTCTGCGGAGCTGCTGAACGTAATAATGTGGCTCGCAGGAATTCTCGCTCTCCCGTTTGAACACACATTGTCCCGGGCGCTTCCTGTTCCGGCCTCTCCTGAGTCTTGTGATGTTGGATCACATTCCCTGAAACCATAATGTGATTTACACCCGCCCCAGTCAGCGTAATCATCCAGCCGGTGTTATTCCATTACACGGCTTGATTCTTTTTTGTTTCAGTAAATTTGGCTCCTGAGGACATCTGTAACACACATTTACAATGTGTAATGCGTGGTATTGTACAAGATTAAAGGTGTTAATTATGTAGAATACATTTTTCTAGTAATATAGGGAATGAGTTACAATTTATAGGTTAAGGGTAGACACTGGTTATTGTGTAATTTCAAAAACTTAAATAGAGAAGGTGCTGTGCCTCCGGGGTTCTTTTTGAGGTCAGTTTTATAAATACTTGTTCAATTTAAAAGTGGTTTTATTTAATGTGGGTTTTCAAATGCAGTATATCATCAGTATCACCGCAATATTGTTGAAATGGCCAGTATGCTACATTTAATTCTGTTTAGTTTGTTGATGCAGAGCAGGCTACCCAAATTGATTCATAGGGAATCAAGCTATAATTACTCTCAACCTGCATTGGAAAATACAGCTTTTTCTTAAACGTAACACCAATAGCAACCAAATTTGCTTTTGCAACTACAATAATTACACAGACCAATTCACACTCTACAATGACATCTTACACAACTGGTGAGCAACTGAAAGTAGCACTTTACTGAATGCGTTTCTTTCGTGCCTGTCTTAGTTGCCCTCTCACTGCCCATAGGACCCACTGTGGCTATAGTTAGGCCTGACGTGATGTTGACAACCGGTGAATTCTTCTACAGGCCATACTTTTCCTATGTATGCATGAAAGAAAACAAAGAATTCTAAAGGCCTGCTATTGTGGTATCGAGCAATCTCAAAAATGTCAAGTGTGATGGTTTTTCTATTTTTAAGTAGGGCACCAAAACAAGATCAACTTGAATCCCCTTAGAAGATTAGGCCTCTTTTTCGGCAAGGGTTTGCAACCTTTGAAAAAGACTTCCATCATTACAGTCATATGTACACACCTTTGGTCAGAACCTATGACTCTTAAGTCCACTAAAGAATTCATGTGTCTCGAGAGAGTGCGACTTCCATTTGTCAAATTGTTCCTTAGGGAATAAAGCTTTAGTAATGTAGACTTTCAAAAAAAAAGTGGGACTTCTACATTTTGTACTATATTTGACTGTGTAGCTAAAGGCCTTTTCAAACCTAATATATATATTTTTTCCCCTAATGTACATGTCTAATGTTTTCTCAACAATCCTTTACCTAGTAGTTTTACACTAAAGAACCCGTACCACCATATGTTCACATCATACAACCTTTTCAATACAGAAAGCTTTTTTGTATTGATTATGAAGGTTTTAAACTTTAAAAATGCATAATAACTCTGAATGAAATTCTGATCTAGTGCTCCAGCAGAGCAGCTCCTAATACCACACCCAAACTGAAAATGTGCTGACATTTGTCAAAATTCTGCACAAATTGTGAAATTGCTCTTGTTACTTTGCAATTTGTGAAGGTGAAGTTACTTTATTTGTGTGACCCTCTAATTAGACATGAAATGGGAAGGTTATCCATCTACCTCTGGCCCCTTAACGGTTGTCATCATGTCCATCTTTGAAGGGAAACTGACCCTAATGAACAGTTACAGTAGATCGTATATTAAGGAAACAACCTGCAGGTCAGATGCTGAAAGTGAAATCACAGCAATTCACTAACCAATGAAAAACCCTCTAATTGCGAATGTTCCTCATTCAGTGCCGCACCAAATTGATTTGGATGTGCCCTTTAACTCCTAATTTCATATAATCAGCCTTAAAATTTGCAATCTCCACATGATTACAGCGCGGCTATACAATATCTCATTTATTTTCCATCCCTCCTTACTTCGCCCTTTTTTATTTTCTTGTTTTTTCACTATCTGCCTTTGTCTCATTCTACACTTTTGTAGGGATTGGGCTGTGGTTAGCATGCAGACCCCTTTCCTTGTGACTCATCCATTTAGTTCATTGTGATTAGTTGAGCGGATTGTATTCAGTAGCTCTGATTAATTACTATCATTTCTTAGAGCCTGACTTCATGCGACATTTCAGTGGAACTAAAAACTCTATCTTCCAGGACGAACTCCCCCCTTCTTCTTCCCCCTCTTTCTGTTGTACTCTCTGCTCTCCCGCTGCTCTCAAACCGGCAGATTTATTAGCTCAGGTGTCAGGACATTGAAATAATTGGGTTTGGAGAGCGGCATAAACATGTGCACTTATACAGAAACATCAGCTCAGCCATGTCTTTTTATTAAAAGAATGTGTTATTTTGGATAGGGTTTCAAAACAGTTTTGGTGGGGAGCTAAATTTGAGCATTAAGGGGGTTGCGTCAGTGCGGAGTATGTGTTGGTGTTGCTGATATACTGGTGAGGTTTTGCTCCGGTGATGAAGGGCTTGAATGCAGACTGACAAATAGGAGAACTCAGAGTTGAGTCAAAAGTTGGAGGAAGTTGAAATGCACTGGTGTCCCACAAATCATCCAAAACAAAAATATACAGGAGCTTGGAAGATCGAGAGAGGCCTAAAACATGAGCTGAAAATATGTCCCCCAAGTTATATAGTGTTACATCTTTCATTATTGTTAATACAGCTTTAAATCACCAATTTCTCTAGATTTAAATGTCATTTTTATTGGTTCAAGTGTAGTGAGATGCCAGATTTTAAACATTTGTGATCATAAGTGTTTTGAGTTGCTGGCTGAAGAACTTAATTGACTTGCACTGCCATGTACTGTAGGAGTTGCATGGTCGTCCCAGAGCATTATGGAAGATCCCAATCTCCACACACACAAAATGTGTTGAGTAGCAAAAGACCATTTTGAACGCCCACAGCAGGGTACACCGCAGCTGCTCCGGGTGACCATCGGTATTATGTGAGAACATTCGAGGCTGTCAAGCCCGCTGTGGCCGGCTCTGTTCCTCTCATTTGGATGTTCTGGAAGTCCAGCAACGCAGATGTAAATAGCAGACTTTGAGATGCTCGCCGCGCACGCCCCGCTGTTTGTGAGTTTGTTTTATACATCACTTGACAGCCTGCTCAATGTCACTCCGTCGGTGGCGGCTCTCATCGCTGTCAGAGTAATGTTCATACTCTTCTCCCACTCAGTTCATCCTAAGTTGTCCTCCTACTAGCACACAGTGTTTCTATTTCGCCAATAGTCTTTTAAGTAATTTTCTTTCACCTGGTTTTGCTATTTGGTACATAACAAATCTTATTTGAGTTGAAATGAGGACATTATTGCTTTTAACATGCAACAGCTTAACGATAGTGCATTTCACTTCAAGTAGAGTTAACCCTTTACTTCCCTTTTTCTATATGAACACCTGCAGTTCAGGAATGTAGAATTATAGATGCACCTCTCTACAGTACTGTTTCGCATTTGTGCGAAATCCTCATCCTCGGTGCAAAACTGACACTCTATCCATCCCTCTTTCACTCACTTCTTCCATCCCAGGTTTTTAGGCATCATTAGCAGCCATAAAACCTCCACTGCCAGGAATGTGACAGGATCCATGTCAGGATCTATCACTCTCCTTCCTCTCCACTCTCCATTTCTTATTGCTCTGTTGTTTCCAATATGACTGGGTGTCATCGGGTACAACTGAATGGAAACTGTGTAGACTGTAATATTCGTGCCATCCAGTTGGCAATGCCAACACCTTCCTGCCTGGCACCAGCTACCACCAATCAATACAGATATTAAATTACTGAGCCCAGCCATCCGCCCCAGCCA